TCTGGAGGAAGCAGGCAGAACATTCTAGAAAGGAATGTGGGAAGGCTTTTAGGCACTTCTCTCGCTCCAGGCTGCACATGATCTCCCCTCGGTCTGCCCCAGGTGGGTTCTGCTTCCCAGGGGACACTTGGCTGTACCCGCAGACGTCTTTGGCTTTCACAATGGGGGGCGGGGGTGCTACTGGCATCTCCTGGGTCAGGCCAAGGCTGCTGCTGCACACCCTGCAGCGGACAAGACAGGCCTCCCAACCATGGATTGTGCAGCCCCAAATGTCAAGATTGCTAAGGTGGGGAGACCCTAACTTAGCCCCATTTGCAGATTTGTATTTCATTGGTGGAGTGGAGCCCAAGTTTCAGCAGGAAGAAGAAAACAAAACAATCTCCAAGTGACTCCAACGCCCCCCAACCAGGGGGCAGCAGGACCGAATGGTGCTGAGCCAGGCGAGGGGAGAGGGGCTGGGGTGCCAGTGAGAGACGGAGAGGCAAGTCATTCTTGCCGTGGGTTCAAGTCCTCGAAGGGTCGCGGATCTCCCATCTTCTAGCAAAACTCCTTTCTCGGTTTCCTAACTAGTGATGAGTTTTCACCAATTCAGACAACTGTGCAAGTTGCCCTTCGGGGATGCCCTAGGATGAGCCTGGGGCCTGGGAGTCAAACCACGCGGCCTCAGGCAAGGTTCTCTTGACTACTCTGAACCGGTCTCCTCCTCCCTGTGAACAGGGACTGCCTCAAGAGCCTCTCCGAGGGGCCCTGAGGGTTCCGGAGCCCTCGCGCCACAGGCCCCTGCTAGCAGGAAGCACCTCACAGAGACTCCCTGCCCTCTTTCACAAGAGCTCTGTGTGCGGCGTGATGGGATTTTCCCCTGGCAGCTCAAAAGTGGATGGTGACATAGTGACATCCGTCTTTCCAAAACCTCTTTCAAGGCATTGCCTTTAAAAGGGTTTAACAGGGCGCCTGAGTGGCTCAGTCGGGTAAGTGTCTGACTTCGGTTTAGATTATGACCTTGCGGTCTGTGAGTTCGAGCCCTGCATGGGGCTCTGTGCTCACAGCTCAGAGCCTGGAGCCTGCTTCCTATTCTGTCTCCCTCTCTCTCTGCCCCTCCCCCACTGGCGTACTGCATCTCTCTCTCAAAAACAAACATATAAAAGTGTTTCTTTAAAATACCTCTTTCATAAAACTAAAAACATTCCTCCAAATAGAACAGATTTATCAAATATTTATCTAGGTCATTAAGACCAAACCGGCAAGGTATGTGTACCACAAGCCCACATTGTACGGATAATAGAGTGATTTGTGCCCTAAAGGGGGAAGGAGGGGGAAATCTTAAAATTACATGCCCTGTGGGCCTGAGAACCCGATAGCAGGCAGATACACAACTTGCTCTCACGAGGACCAGGATCATTGGAAGACTGTTTCTCAGTCCCAAGGTCTGACACAGACCCACATCCCGCCCCACAAAGTATTGTATATAGGTTTTGGGAACAGTTCTTGGCGAAAGACAATAGTGTTTGAAGCAAACTCCAAAGGGTAAATATTTTAATTTTCTTCCAGGGTTCTCTTCATTTCATAATATTTTCAACAGTCACACTGACAACATTTCCACAAAAATACTCAATACAGCATTGGTATTCTTAAAGTTCTCACATCCAACACTCCCTTAGGGAAACTAGGAGACTCAGCAACGGGTATACAACATTGTGGTGAGATTAATTAGAGATTCAGTCTCTAAAGTCAGTCGGGATGGATTCACAGAAGAGTCGAACTTGGCGCCCCTTTTAAATTCCGCAGTCAAAACGCAGCCGGTCCTGTGTGACCGCCGAGCTTCTATAGAAACGAGGAAAGACGAGTCCACCTAGAAACTGGAGGCTGCCCTTTCATATACACAAAATCCATGTGAAACAGCAAAGGAAACACACTTTGTAGAGGAGGGGCTGCCACGTTGGCCACCCACAGCCCTGCAGAGGTCACGGTCAGCCAGCGTCACACCGGCCGTCTCCCCACAGCCAGCAGGGGGCGCTCTGGCACTCACTGACAAAAGCGACAGGCTCCACACCAAGGTGTTTTTTTGAAACCCAAAAACTAATGTTTTTGAAAACTGCTGACATCTCAAAATGTGAATTGTTGGAAGTCCAGCTTCTCATCCCCGAAGGAGCCCATCGGGATGGTGTGTTGAGCGCCTTTTCGACCCCTGATGTGCAGGACACCGCGAAAGGCAAACACTCCCCATGTCAGCGGGCTGATGGCAGACGGGTTTGTTAAGTTCACCGAGGGGAGTGACCTGCCGGGCTGATCCTGACGCTACGGACTTAAGAAATAAATAGGCATCAAAGCACCCAGCTCTTGTTGTATGAAAAGACCACAGAAATAGGCTTGCTCGGCAAAAGATTTTTTCCCCCGACATTAACGCTACACTATGTAAATTACCTTCCTCCTTAAACCTGAGACTCACAGGTTTATATCTGATTCATTCTACTTGATGCCAACTGGCATGTCCCATCCACCCGCAGATACAAAGAGAATCACTAGCTTTGGACAGTCCCTTCCTTTCGAGCTTAAAGAACTTTATAGACATGGTCTCTAAGGCCTTAAGTGGGTCAGGAGGAGGTGAGGGGAACCAGAGAACTGCTCACGTGGAAGAACAAGCCCTGCCACGCGCCTCCCCACGATCCGAGGAAATACACCCAATGCAGGTGTAAGAAAATGGAAGCAAAGGCCGGTGGTTTCTCCTAAGTCGAGGCACAAAGCTCTTTACAATTGTCACCCGTGAAGCCACTTAGTGCAGGTGTGTCATTGACACCTGCTGCGCCCCAACACTACGGGCGGTCTCCCCGCTCGGGCCCTGAACCTGAACCTAACACACCTGAGCGGGGAGGACAGCGTGGGACACGCGGCCCCCGCAGAGGAGAGACAGAGTCGTCGAGACGGCTCAGAAACAGAACAGAGGCACCACAGCTACAGGGCATGGTTTTCGGAGGGGGCGATTACAAAGCAAACAGTACTTTCCCAGAGAAGTGACGCGGCAGGAGGCAGGACACACCGGGTTTTAGTATCTTTTTGCCCTTTTCGGCACACGGCTCCTTGGAACGATCTCTTAAAGTGAGTTTTTCATTATAAAAACGTTGATGTTACATACACGTGCTTAAGTGGGAATCCAAGTTGGACCCAAACTTTGCTAACGTGAAGTTTATTGCTCTGTCCATCCTAAAAGGCAAATATTGAAGGGGAGGTCCTACTTGTAAGTAACAGCAATCTGGGGACAGAAAGGGAAACTGGGGGTGCAAATTAGTCCCCGTTCAAAAGAAGCTATTGTCATGGACCTCAACGACTTTATCGAGTGGTCCTCACGCGTGTCTGTCACACTGTATATTCTAAAACTCGCTGACAGAGCTCGGTCGGGCTTGCTCGCGGGGCTCCTTGGGGAGATGCCTGCCCGGCCTCCAGGCGGCTCCAAGCAGACACATGCAGCCCAGTCCTGTGAGAACTGCCCCTCGAAGGTCACCACACGGCTGCTGTGGCCGCTCAGACGCAGCGCTCGCGGAGAGCCCAGGTCTGGGGGAGCCCACGGCCGCCGTGTGTGTGGTGTGGCCTCGGCGCTCTCCTTCAGCGCCATCAGCCTGGGGGGCCCCAGGACGGGGCGCCCCACCACGCACTGCATCCCACACCACCATTCACACACACACACACACACACGCGCGCGCGCGCGCGCTCTAATCATCCAAACATCTCTGTTGGACTTTGTCATACAAATCCCCTTAGTTTGCAGGCAGGCGCTGAGGCTCAAGAGGCATCAAGTGTCTCAGCCACGTCACCCGTCTAGTGGGTGCAGGTCTGGAAGCCCCAGGGCCCTGCCCAATGCTCTTCTTATGGTGTCGCTGTGACATAAAAGCTGGAAAAGACATTTTTAAAAGAGGAAAAACTAGAAGATACTGAATACTGCAGACGTGTTCAAACATAGTCTACATAAACATCTCCGGGAAAGAGCATCTGGATTAAAGAGGCAATGGACAGAGGCTTGAACCTGAACCTGAGGCAGGTTTCTGGTTCCCAGGTTCTGCGGACAGCAGGCACCGGAGCACAGGCACGGACCGGGTCCACACATCTACGTTATGAAGATACAGGTCAAAACAGGATTTATAAACCGAATTTATCGCGAGACAATCTATTTACAGCTCACAGTGCAGAGAAGAGGAAGCTTAGGTCTCCCTAGGCTGCATCTAAGTGAACGTAAATAATTAATGTAACGAGGGAAAATATATTTAAAAATTAAAGGTCTTTTATATTTTTAAGCCCTTGATCCAGGGCTTTTTGGTCTGATTACTCATCACAGATAACATACACAGTATGCTCTGTTTTTCAGGAAACCTGGAGCCTAGCAGGGTCAGTGAGCAGGGTGGTCAGAATGTGCCCCCTTCCCTCCTGAAGCAGATGACAGACAGGTGTGGCCAGTGTTGACTCGGGATCCCGTTTTACATGGACTCCACTTAATAGCACAGAGTAAGAGATGGTTCTGTGACCCGTAAACAAGTGTTTATCTGAGAAGTTTTTTCAGCGGTACAAAGGAAACAAAATAAAAATTAAACACTGTTGAACACGACTTTATAAATGTTAAGTGTCCAGATTTTTGGTTCACATTGCCCTCTTGTTCCGAAAACCTGGAGAATGAAATGGATTCCACATCATTTTTCAAACCGCGAACTGAAAAGCAGTTCTGAAGTCCAAACTCCCTTCAAAGGCATTCTTCGCACTTGAGGAAATGAGAAGTCCCATCATACAACTGCAAACACTGGACAGACACAAAGGCCTCCACCGTCTCTGCCAGATTAACCTAGAGTCAAAAACGAGTTCTTGACGACCCCTTCCCTCTCACTCCTGAGCAAAGATTTCCTGGCTACGAACCAACATCAGCTCTGAGCGAGGCCCCGGCATCTTGGGAGGGTTCCCACTGCTGCACCGAGGAGTACACGCTCTGAGAAAGGCAAACCACCCACGGAAGCAGGAAACAATTTTACCTTTAAATAAAAATACTTTATTCATTCCTGACAGGTTATCAAAACGTACATTGTTAACCACGTAGAAACGGTACTTCGAAATCGCTGGCTAGGGCGTATTTGGAGGATTTTTGGTTAATATCACAAGAGGAGAAATCATTTCCAGTCTCCATCTCCACACATCCCTAATGGGCCTGCGCTAGGCCTGCTTGAAACTGAACATATAAACAATCACATGGGCCCCAGTTCATTACAGAATGAACATTTTCATTTACACTTAAAATAAATGAAAGTCATTACATTCGAGTTACTAGCTTCCTTTGCCAAAAACATTCAGTCTTACTCCTCTTTATGCTTTGTGAAAATCTGGAAATCACATAACGAATGTATCACAGGACTTGTATTAATCTACACGCACGCACACGCACGCACACGCAGGATAAAGTGCAACACAACAGAACACATCTGCCACATTCCTGTTCTCAAACTCCCCCGGAACGGTTTCCTGGGGAAACGGAGATCACGCTCTCAAGCACACGGACATGAACTCCGACAGACCAGGTTAGTTATTCCCCAGTGACGTTTGTATGAAATTCCTATTTGCCTCGCTTTTCACGGGGGCTTCGGTCTCCCATTCTCAATGAAAGCTTCGAAGCTGTGATTCTTTTTAAACCTCGAGAGAAATCGACTCCTCAGGGCGACATAAATAGGGCTTTCAAAGCGTGCAAATGTTTCTGAGCGCTCGGTGCTGTAAGAGGAGGCTTCCAGCGATCTCCCGTCTCCAGCAAGGAGAAGTCATTTCACTAAAAGCAAGCTTTCCACTCACTTGGCAGCAAACGCTTGAGGACTTTGACACCAGCCACCTAACACCGCTACAGGCGGGTGCCACACTAGCCCTAAGATGTCACGGGTTTTTGGTTGCGTGGTTTTTTTTGATATTAAATTATTTAACTAGGAAGTGCCTTTGTTCCTGAGATGAGCACAATAAAACGAAAGGAGTCCCCTCTGCAGCTGCTGGCGGGCCGCCGCCACGCTCCTGACTCCCACCCGCACTGTCCTCCTGAAGGGCCGTGTCGCCAGCGTCAGTCTTCCCCACGGCGCCACTTCTGGGACTCGTCCTGCCGGACGTCTGGTCTGATCTGGTTTCTCATGCCACCTAACACATTGGAGGTCGCTTCCGTGGCAACAATCAGAGGCTTCACCACCGCGGGGGGAATCTGGCGCAGGACCTCGCCCACGGCACCGGTGACCCCTCGGCTCTCGTGTTCTCGGGCTGCCGTCTCGTAAATAGTCTGAGCCGTGTCTGTAAGTCCCTGAAAGAGGGAGAAGAACAGGTCAGAAAAAATCTCTAAATTACCCTACAGTCCACAGCTTCAGCCGATTTTATTAATATTATTTTTTTAATTATATTAAAAAAAAAAAAAAAAAAAAAAAAAACCCACAAAAAAAATAAATTAAAAACACCCACTGTGCTATTGAGATAACCCAGGATAATTATATTTATGACAAAACCCCAATTATAAGGGAAAATAAAAGGCAATTATTATGATTTAGTATTTTGTTGTGACAAGTGTATAAAAAATATAGCTGAACTACAATTTCACACAGGGAAGTGTAAAGAAATATGTAATGATGCAAGAGTAGCTTTCCTGGCACTATCAGTCACTCAAGTTAAATCAAACTCGGCAAACAAAGCTTCTGGAATAAACATAATCACAAAAGAAATATGGTGATAGTTCCTTTGATTCAACTGTAACAAGGAAACCTCATTCTACACAACTCCAGAAAATTACTTAATTTGTTTTAAATTACTGGCTATGGACTGGAAAAGATAGCTGTGGAACGTTCACTTAAGATAAAAGGCTAAAGAGAACATCTTACTGGATTAAATAGAAAAAAATCCGAGAACATAAAGCAGAAACATGTTTAATAATTAAGAACGGGGTTTCTGTAGCATGTTTTCATCTTTCTTACCACTGTGTAACATTAAAACAATGTTTGTTAGGCTTTAAAGCTGAATCTAAAAATGTGTTGATCGGGCGCCAAGATGGTACAATTCACACGTGACCTTTGAACCCAGCACCTGTCTGACTCCGGAGTCCCGCAGGGGACAGGAGGCACCATGCAGCTGTGACCGGTTTCGGGAGGGGAAAGCAAGGAAGCTGTCCTAACCCAGAACCCAGCCACCACTGGATGGGACAGGGGGACTTGGGCAGGCGGGCAAGAGTATCCCTCCCACCCAGCACAGCCGGAAAAAAGTGCGACACCAGGGCAGGGGAGGCGGGGAGAACCAAACTAAACAACAAACCAAACCACCTAAGTGCTATTTTTTAAAACTACCTAGTACACGCAAGGAAGAAAATGCTCAGTGGATCCACACGCCCCATCGCCTGCCCCCTCCCCCTCAACCCCCTCCGCGGCCCGCAGACAAGAAATGGTACTGGGTGACGGCCACCCAGTGAGCACCACCACCAGTGTGGAGACAACAGAAGTAAATGCTGTCTCGGCTCCTGCACCTAAGTGTTACCTTCGCCAAGTCCTTCCAGTGGGGAATTCCAGCTGTGCGGGGACCATCAGATAAAAGGACACAAGGCACCTAACGAAACCGACGCGGCAGGAACCGCGGGTCCTCCAGACGTGCCCCAGATCCACCAGACCTGCCCCGATCGCCGCCACCGCCCTCATCACAGCTACCAGCCTCCCACGGGGGAAGTTCCTCAAGCCAGGGTCAGCCAACGGCCTCTGGAAAGGGCCGGATGGCAAATGTCTGTGGGCCACACAGGCTCTACTGCATACCCTTTTTCTTTTTCTCTTCTTTTTACAATCCTTCAAAACCGTAAAACTAATCCTGAGCTAGAAGGTCCACACAAAACAGGCTGGGGCCAGATCTGACCAGCGGCTGCCAGGTGCAGAGCCCAGATCTACAGGGCAGCCCATCTGTGAAACACATGGAGAGTTCTCTCTCAATCTCTGAGTTACCAACATCTAAAAGGAAAAGACGTCTTTACTGCCATGTAGGTGCCTCTATTTAAAAAGTTTTTAAACACAGAACTCAGATTCCATCTACCAACTCAATCCGTGCTCACTATTCATACCCTCCCTGCCGCAGTCTCATCCTGACGGTCTGAGAGGAGAATGACATGGCAGATCCGAACACCCAGGTTCCAATCCTGACTCCACTGTGACACCCCCCCACCCCAGCTCCACTGGGGAGCTGTTCCCGCGGAGCCGGTCCTCAGGTGCGAGAGAGGACCACCACCGACCTTTAACGGTTGCTATCCACCTGGTACAAAGTAAGCACACAAATATTGTTTTTAAATGAATATAGATTAAGTTGGTCAAGCTTTGTGTAAACTGTAAAGTGCTCCCTATCCAAGTGCCATTGTATCTGGCCTTCAACGGCCCCCACTAGGCCTCGAACCCCAGAATCGTTTTTACAAACCTGATTTCTAACTGTCTACATGTTAGATAAGTAGCCCAAACTGATAGCTACAGGAACAGGTCTGACCAGGAATTCTCTCTATTCTCCCAACTGAATCTCCTCTTAAGAAAGGCAAGTGGTCTTATTTATTCCCAACACATGTCCTGGGGGCCCTACCTCAGTGGTCGTCTGACGGTCGGGACCACAGAGGCCGCTCTGTCAGGGAAAAGATTGTCCTAGGCGCCTGTGCCTGTCAGAATATGTTGGGGAAACAGATCTGTAATGAACTCCTAACACTTGCAGCCTGAGTAAAACAACCTCAAACTTCAGGTCACATTAAAAATAATGTCAAAAAAGATTACGACGAGGAATGTCCCCCAACAATGCCCATAAAGAATCAGGATTCACAGGTGCAACTAAACCGCAATGTGGCGATGCTTAATAAATGTTGGGACTCAAATAGTTACACGACCTCGTGCACAAATAAATAAAGGGACATTTATATGAACATTCCGAAACTAGTGTTTTAGGGGAAAAAAAATGGCAACTGTCTCCCAACAGGAAAAAAAGTAGAGTCCTACGATAAAATGCTGGAGGACAGTTAAATTAGATGTACATATATCAACATGGATCAATCTTGGAAGGCATACGTTACAGAGCGATACCCATACGATGATCCCATTTATGTCAACTTTTAAAATATAAATAGTACGTGTTGCTTGTGAACACATTCATAATAAAACTATAAACGAGCATACAAAACAAACATGTACCACCTTGAGGACAGTGAAGGCCTGGGATTGGGATGAGAGTGCACGATTCACCTGAAAGGCAGTACTTCTACACAAAGCCGAGGGAATGCGGCGCGGCATGACTCCGGCGTGACTCGGGTCACAGCCGGCTGGGGAGGGCACGCACTGGCCTCCGGGACCTGGCTGGCTTCTGCACATAAGGAGAACCAGTCTTCCCCCTAGAGCGTGACTCTCTGTGTGAGCCAGTCACTAGGTGGCCCCGGCCTCTGACCGCACGCAGATATCCGCACTTGCTATCGGCAGCACTTCCAGGTCTGCTCCCGGGGACACTCGGGAACAAACTCCAGCGCTCTGTAGACAAAAGCCAGGAAAGCGCGCCGGCTGAACCAGCCAGCTGGTCCTCTCAAACGTCACTAACCTCTTTGACAACACTGTAGGCCTTGGCCACACCTTCCCGCAGGTCCACTGGCTGGTGGGCGAGGCGGTGGTGAGGAAACCTTTTGATCTTCTTGGGCTCAATAGAAAGGGTCCCAGGAGACACCATGTCATAAGCAGTCTCTGCTGCTGCCTGCATCATTTTGTCAGAAAGAATGAATCAGAAGCAAGCCTGCACATGCTCCAGTGACGTACTTGCCAAAAGAACACAGGGACCCACAGGCCCCTAACTTCTGCAGGGGCTGAGTTCTTCACAACAAAAATAAGAACAGTAAAGTGCACATTAAGAATGAATTTCTAGGGGCGCCTGGCTGGCTTAGGTGGTTAAGTGTCCGACTTCAGTTCAAGTCATGATCTCAAGGCTCATGGGTTTAAGTGTTGACAGCCCAGAGCCTGGAGCGGCTCCAGATTCTGGGTCTTTTTCTCTCTCTGCCCCTCCCCTGCTCTTGCTGTCTCTCTCTCTCTCTCAAAAATAAATGTTAAAAAAGAATTTTTAATTAATATCTGGATTGAGCAGACTTTTCCAGGCGCTCCTCTGTCCTCTGAGAACACTCCCCAGGTTACCAGGCTAGTCAAGAATGCCCTGTCTGTGAACAATCAGATAAGGTCTGTAACAAACCTTAATACATCCACTGTTTGCTTTCTTTACGGGTAGCTAGGATCTTTTCACATAAATGAGGCAAAATAAATCCTTGGCTAACTTAATGGTCACAATTTAACTGAAACAGGCAAACAAATTTGACCTTGCATCCACTTCTTTATTCTATGAATTACTTAACACCGGAGAGCTAAGCGATAAAAGAAGTAAATCATCATAAATATCTACCCTCAACATTTTGTATATTTTCATGATATCATTTTAAAAAACAAAAAAAAAAAAACCCACCCCAACCATCTTACAATGGGTCCTGCTCTCTGTACAGAGAAGAGCAGGCTAAGGGGAGATACCTGTATGGTCTGAACCATTCTGTTGGTGAGTTCGAGAGCAGCCATCGCTGTGGAGGTGCCGAAGGAGGCGGCACCTCTCTGGAACCCTCTGACGATGCGCCCGTCTTTCCGGTACTGCTCTATGGGTAACCAGACCAAGTCCTTCAGGCCTTGCACTAGAACGACAGCCAACACGGGGAGATCAGTGTGCAGAGCCCGGGGTCTCTGCTATCACTCTAACTCTGGGGCTGTTAACCTGAGACGGGAGGCAAAGTGTTCTTACAGGTGTACATGACCACACAGCGGCATCTTCTAGAAAGGTCCGCACAAAGATACTCAGAGGCATCCGTGAACTCCAAGAGGGTGAAGAATCACAGATCAGGCAAAAGAAATCATCTTTTGATTAAAGAAGAAAACTCACCTAACTGTACCAGCGAATGCATAGGCCCAACACCTCCCAGGATCCCCGGCAGCTGGTTCTTCTTAATGTCCGTGAGCCATTCAGTGATCGCGTATGAAAACAATTTGTCAACACCTAGCAAGCTAGAGCAAATGACTATGAGTACACAGGACAGAGCAAGGTTTGGGGGCTCACATAAGTTAAAAAGAAGAAAAAATGCCCTAACTTAAGACAAAAGAAAATTTACCAGTTACAAGGACAAAGTATTGTAGGTGTTCAGTCTGCGTCTATTATACACGGACATACGCGCACACGTCTAATCCAGTTGAACGTCAGTCTCTATGAGGCTCAGGGGACAAGGAGCTGTTCCTGAGCACCCAGGACTCTGGCATTGGATGAATCCAAGGCCTATAAACTGCTACACGGTTCACAGCTACTAAGAACCATCATGGTGTGAACTTCCAGTCTTTTTGCTAACTAATTTACAACTTTGGGAAACTATTTACAAATAACTATAGCTCTTTTTGAAAAAATACACCTCAGTGCAAACTACCGTTACTCTCGCCGAATAACAAGTAGCCCCTACGTGGGAAGCATCCTCTAAACATAAGCTCTCTGCAGACAATACTGTAAAGTAATTATTTACATTGGTTAAGAAAACGCCAACATTCATTTTGTTGGGAACTAACGGTCATAACCACACCATGAAGCCTCATGTAATGAGCCAACCTACCCGTGCCGGTAGAAAAGCCGCTTCAGTTTCAGTTCTGAGCAGTTTAACTGGGCCAGACCGATCAGGACCCCAGCAAGCGTGCCCTTTACAATTGAAAACAGGTTAATGTGTAGATCGAGAGGCCTAACATTTAAAACAGTCGTTATCTGGGAAAAGCAAAGGAATATTCATTCGCTACTAAAGCCAGAACACTTAAAAATATTTCCAACAAAACAATACATAGTTAACAATACATGTATCCCAATTTCTATCAAACTTTACTCGTGGGTTCTTAAACGGCATTTACTTTAAGAACAGAATTTTAAAATCTTGCACATCATTTCAAACATACGTAAACTATGACAGAAAAGGTTTAAAAATTAACTCCTAACAAGGAAAAACAAAGAGATAATGAGAAAACAAAAAAACAAAGGAGCTAATTTTGTACAGTAGATTTATACAAAGTTTCCAAACCTGATCCATTGACATGTGTTTGCCGTGATAATCAAGTCGGATAGGAACTTCTGATGTGAATCTAAATTCTCTAAAGACAGAGAAAGGGAGTTATTTATATTCAAAAGTACTAACAGCTGAAATTAGATAGAGCTAATTTATTCAACTGGAGAATAAAGACAGTCACAAAATAATGTAAATAGAAGTATCTCAAGGCCTAAATAAAGAGGAATGTCTTTTAGCTTTACTTTTTCTTAAAGTAATATAACAACTAATCTGACATTTATCAGATTATATATAGTTTTTGTTTAAATTTTCTCACACAAGTCTTTTCCTAGTTTACTAAATAATGCTTACCTTAGAAAAATTTATTCTGGCAGACAATCTCAGTTTATACAGAGAACAAACAAATAGAAGAATCCTTCAAAATTAAACCAAATAATATAATCACTACCAAGATGTAAGCAAGGAAAGATGCAAGGGATGTAAGCTCTGTGGTGATGCAGAAAGTGCCGGAAAACCCAGCCGCGAACCCCAGTTTCACCAGGTATATGGGATGCAGTCATGGGTAAGGAGCTTAAACTCTGAGCCTAAATACCTCTGTATTTTTTTTTAATTTTTTACTTTTTACTTTATTTTAGACAGAGAGACAGAGCAGAGCAGGAGAGAGAGGCAGAGAACCTCGAGCAAGCTCCATGCTCACCGTAGAGCCCAATATGGTGCTAGATCCCATGACCCTGAGATCATGACGTGAGCCGAAATCTAGAGTCAGGACACTCAACTGACTGAGCCACCCAAAGCACCTCAAGTCAGTGAATTTTTATTTTTTGTAAAATTTTTAAGTGTTTTTTTATTTCTATGAGAGAGAGAGAGAGCAAGCGAGTGAGTGAGAGCAGGAGAGGGTCAGAGAGAGAGGGGGACACAGAATCTGAAGCAGGCTCCAGGTTCTGAGCTAGCTGTCAGCACAGAGCCCGACGCGGGGCTTGAACCCATGAACCATGAGATCATGACCTGGGCTGAAGTCAGATGCTCAACCGACTGAGCCATCCAGGCGCCCAAAGTCAGTAAATTTTTAAAATGCCCCCTACGCTGGTCAATTTCAGTGAGCTTGCAATTAATGCTTTTAAACAGGGTATCAACATCCAGCCACTGGGAATTCTGTGAGAATGAAGTCATAATTATACACTGATGATATATACCTCAAACAAAAGGAGCTGACTTTCCAAAGCTGGGCTATAAATTAGACTTGATACACAATTTTTCTACAGAATTAACGTCTGCATTTATATCCTAAGCCATTCCACAAAGGCCCAGTTTAATGCACAGTAAGACGGAAGCTCCGTGTTCCATCAGGCACTACAAGGAGCCTGGGGCCCCGGGCCATCCCCCGTCTTCCAAACACGCACCTCCATTTGGTCTCATTGCGTTTTCTCGGTGACAGCCCCTTGACGCCTGCCTCTCCCTTTCGCACTCTTTTTTCCTACATGGCACAGAATATGACAAATCATCTATTGTAATTATTTGTAATCTTAACTGTACACGGATTTTTCTCTACTTTGTTTGCTGTGCCCAGAACAAGAGTTGGCATTTGGCAAACACAGAGGAAGAGCTCAGTTGGTACGGGAATGGCTGGGGGAGGGGTGCTATTAGGCCATCACTTAGAAAATGCACTGGATTTGGGATGAAGACCTGTGCTCTGGTCTTGACTCGGCCACTAACTGCGTGGTCTTGAGCAAGTCAACTTCTCTGGGCATCAACTTTCTCGTCTGTGAAGGGAGTAGTCTGGATTATAGCACTGCCTACCACCCCAGGGTCACAGACTCTCTAGGAGTTTTGAAAGTATAAACGATTTTAAATAGTCTAGAAGACTAAGCTATTTTAAGTAGTCTAATGATAAAAAATAAAACGTTTGCCTAATAAGTAAGGCTACACCAGCTGACTAAATAAAAAGTATCCAATCTCTCTGCTTTCAGGCCAGAATTGTTAACAATTCAATTTCTTTTGGGCCGGTTATCCAGTGTTCACAAAAAAACAAACTAGAATTCCAGTGATTACTTCAAGTACACGATTTCTTGGTAGAAAAGAAATAAGAGATCCTTCCTTTCTGGTGTAAGATCATCTCTCCAGGATCTTTCCAATTCTCATATTCTGTTATTCTTTTCTCTATTTCCTAGAGTACAGAAGATATATAAAACATGAAAGCACTATAAAATAATTACACTGCCTGCTTTGGGCCACAGCTAAAGTGTAACCTGAAGTCCACCTGCAAAGAGAACGTGGGGACCATTGGCGTCAGCAGGAGTAGAGAAAACGAGGGGAAGTAGCTGACAGTCCCTCACGACACAGGTGGCTTGGATCATCATCGTCTCTCTTTGCGAAAGAGCCCAGGCTCCACGCCCACCGTCAAGGGCTGGAGAGCAGGAAGATGGGGAGGAAGACAGGTCTGGAATAGAAGGACAAAGTCCAATGTGCAAGCAGCGGGCCGAGTCGTGGGGCAGTAGCTACAGCAGAGGGTGGCAACACAAGGGACCCGTCTTTCCTGATAGTGCCGACGAGCCCGGGAGAGAAGGGTCCGGAGAGACACGACAGTGCTGGGGAAGGGCAGATGGAAAACCACAGAAAATTCTCACATAGGAGAAGGGAAACACAGCAAGCCAAGGTGTGTAAGGGACATCGTGTTTGAGGAGGTACAAAGAAGCCACCACAGTGCCTGGGAAGAGGGACCGGAGGGGGAAAGCAGCTAAGAGGAAAAGGCCATTCCTGCTGCAGAATCAGGAGAAGCGGCTCCTGAGCCAGGGCTGCTACATGTGATCAAGGGGTGAGGGAGATGCTACGTGTAATTGGGGGGGGGGGGTACGGGAGGCATTACATGCAATTGAAGGGTGCAGGAGATGCTACGTGTAATGGAGGGGTGCAGGAGACACAACATGTAATTGCGGTGCGGGAGATGCTACGTGTAATCGGGGGTGCGGGAGACATGAGGCCCACTTGTAAACATACCAGGCGATGGTTTGGCAGCGCACAGAGAACACAGCCTAATCTCACGATTTGCAAGTGTACACGAATACGTTCAAGAATAGCCTGCAGGGGTGCCAGGGGGTGCGGGGCTCAATCGGTTGAGCGACTCTTGATTTCGGCTCAGGTCATGATCTCACAGTTTGGGGGTTCAAGCCTATATCGGGCTCCATGCTGACAGCACAGAACTTGCTTGGGATTCTCTCTCCCTCTCTCTCTGCTGTCCCCACCTCCCCCACCCCTGGCTTTCACACTCTCTCTCTCAAAATAAACATTAAAAAAAAAACCTTCAAAACTCTAAAATAACTTCATTTGTTATCAAAATTACATGATTTACCTAAAAAACACAGGCTGATCACTAAAAGGCGCTTCCTCGGCTGAGAAATCCTTCTGTTCCTCCCCATTAGCCACGTCCACTGAACTGGCACTACCATCCTGGGAAGGCTGCTTTGGCCCCGGGAAAGAAAGAACTAGATTTGGCTCCTTCGAGGTTAAATGCCTTGGCAAAGTGCAGGTGACATCAGCTCCAGGAGACTTTTTAACTGCAAATGTAACGTGCACATTTGAATAATCAGGTTTGCTTCTTTAGAGCATCCACTTAAAATCAATGTAGATTAACTTGTTTTGCTACATTTAATAAATACAATTACTGTTACAGAGAAAATGGACCACCACCTTTTAAAATACTACTTTTACATAAACTACATTTGCAAGATATGAAAAATAAACACAAACCACATTTATATAAATCAAAATAAAGACTGTAAGTACACCCTCAAAGAGGCTTCATAACAAATCAATCCAAGTACTTGTTATAGACTCTTCCAAACTATACATTTTAATACCTTCTGGATCTGGAGCCATTAGAAGCTCTACTTCTGTAGAAAGACTTGTGAAGAAATCCTTCAGGAAGAACAAGGCATCCTAGAATGAAAAGATGCCATTATAATCGAAGGGAAGGGAAGGGAGAGGTAGATTTATTTCTAAAACTAAAACACAAAGTATCTTAAAGTTCCACATTTGACTTATTGTTCATACACAATTTTCACTCTGTGTGAGGCATTATTCCTATTCACTCTCTCTCTCTCTAACACATACACACACTTCGTTAATTCTCAAAACTCTGAGAAACTCAAATGAGAAAATTAAGACACAGAGGGATTACAAACTACATAGCTATTTCTAAATCAAAATATATTTTAGTTTTCTTAGAAACACAGCGTTCTCGTTCTTCAACACTCGTTCTCACTGTAAACTGGTGGTGGTGAGGTCACTGGCACTAGCAACAGCTGCTGGCGGCCCCACACACGTGCACGTGCCTTACAAGTCCCTCCTCTCCTACTGTTGCCTGTAACGCTAGGTCACGTTGCTTTAATACATATTCTTCCTGGAACATGACGCTCAAAACTAAAATCCATAAAATCACCCAATATGGTCTCTTCTGAAATGATATGGTAACAAAATGCACGGACCTGTCTTGAGGTCCGAACAAACCATATCTACCCATTATTAGCAGCTTCCTTGTAGCTGCCTCACTTAAACCAACAAATTCACCTTGGAAAATAGGAAAATCAAATGCCCGAGCCTATGCTTTCTAATTCTTCCCTTCCATTTAGAAAAATTCTAATATAAAACATTAACATCACACCAAAAAGAGCGACGTGACAGTGAATTACACGGTCACAATAGTTGGTAGCGTGCCTACAGTTTTTAATTCCAAAGGAGCTGATCAACTACTAATCACATTCACCAGAACTATAAATGATGGAAGATGGAAAGGGATTTTTCTAGGCAACATGGCATACGGGAGACTAAGGATGGGACTAAGGAATAAGCAGCTACTTCGAGCAGCACTGGAAATATTCTGGTTCTGCAGCAGGGTAGTCAGTTCATGGTTTGCCCATTATTTTATTATGCTTCACACGTGTATATGTATTTATCTTGTTATTTACATTACATAACATATGCAGATACGGGTATGTGTATATACACACATTTTATATATACATCAAATATTAGATGTTAACAAACCTAAATGTTACCTAAAATGTTATTCTTTGACCACTAGATGGCAATATTTTAACACTATAAATGCTTTGACTCTGACTGCCTTCAAAAAAATAATGAGAGAAAAATCTAGGTAAAAATATGCCTAAAAGGGGCACCTGAGTGGCTCCGCCAGTTAAGCATCTGACTCCTGATCTCAGCTCGAGTCACGATCTTGCAGTTCGTGAGCTTGAGCCTCATGTTGGGCTCTGCTCACAGCACAGAGCCTGCTTGGGACTCTGTCTGCCTCTCCCCTGTGCTGCTCACTCGCACACTCTCTCTCAATAATACATTTTTTTTTTTTTTAAAAGGAAGACTATGAAGACAGTGACTTTTATCCATTGTTAACTACAAATGCACAAAACAGAAAAGGGGTACTAATCATCAGCATTTTAATGTTCTCAGAAGTTCTGATTTTGGTATTCATGCTCCTCTTTACAACTCAATAAAACCTGACTTTAAAGCTAGCCAGAAACAGACCCTTCGCAGCAGAGTGTACAAAAGCACACGGAGTGTGTACAAGCACACACAGAGTGTACAAAAAGAGACACGCCCAGCGGCAGCAGCGGCAGCAGGCCACTCCACGCTACAGCCACATGAGCAGCGAGTAAAACGGTCCGCTCAGCAGACGGCACCAGGTCCGGTCAGACGGTGCCGAGGCGGCAGCTCTCACCTGCTGCCGCAGGAATGTCCGTGGCGGTGATGGGCAGCTTCTCGCAAGAGTTACCACACATCCCTCGTGGCCTGGAAAGTGCTTACAGTATCCAACACAAATGGAAACCCAGGTCCGTACAGAGATTTGTACACTAACTTTATAACAGCTTCATTCACCCCAGGGTGTTAAGTCATCTGTTTTCTGTTGGTCCTCCCCCCACCCCATCGCCCCACACAGAGATCTCTGTATCCCTGACATCCTAGTACAGAAGCTGGGACAAGGCTGGCCTCCAGCAGGTGACTTGGAGTTAACATGTGTCTCTTCCCTACGCAGACTCCCTCCCACGCAGTGCAACACGGAAATGGACGCCAGACGAGGGGAGTCAGGAAATGTGGCCTCTTCACATTTCAGATCTCAGACTTCCTAGTTACATGACCTTCATCGTCTGCTTAGCCTCCCCCGGATGAAGCCTGCCCTCTGCCTGGTGTCTGCCTGCCCTACGGGTACACTGATCTTTGGAAGCAATGGGCATGAACTTCAACAGCAATGCAGCCTTTTGAAAACACGAGAAACAGTATGTTGCTTTCCTACTTCCTGTCTATGACCCCGTTAATAAGGTCAGGGACATAGTCAGTAAGAAAAATACTACTCAAAGCACTGTCCTTCTTCAGCTGATTTGTTTTCAAAAGAAAACACGAAGAACGAGAGTATTTGGTCTTCCATCCAGATGACCAATTGGTATCTCAAACTAAGGACCTCAGAAGATGTGGACCAGAAGGGGTGTCAGTGCGGCGAATCCCTCACCACACACTTGGGAGCGTGGCCGGGGTCGCGTGTAAAGGCATTACATCTCAGGGAATGATTTCTTCTCCTCCTCTCAGTTAAGCCATGACAGTTATTTCTGTTTCCTCAAAGATTAATAATTTTCCCATTTCAAAATCGCAATGCTTTATAGTTCTAAATAAGAAATTAAGTTCACTATTAAAGAAAAAAGTGTATTAAAGGAAACTGGGTTTGCGAAGTCTGGCAAAGTCATGCTATAAAGACATATCTTAGTCAAATTCTTGCTCACGCTGGTGAGCTCCACAGACCAAATTTCCTGTAAATACTTCTTTGAATTCCTATTCCAGTACAGGCCAATGTATGGATAGATCAAATTAAAATATGGGTCTCCAAAGATATTCTCCGAAGGAGAGAAAGTAAATCTCAAGTGCACATCAGCAGGTCCATCACAGCTCAGAAGCTACCTATGTTGACGTAAAGCTGTGAACTTCTGTGCTTGGCAAGACCTCTTTTCTGAGAAATGCTGAGCTTTCCTTTATGATGTAAATGTTAATACCTTATTCCTGAAATATCTGTCACTTGCATAAATAACAAGTCACCATTATTCAACCCACACTACTTAAGCAAACAAATAGCGCTATCCCACATACACGCTACTTCCGAACCTGAGCTCACAGCAATGTAAGCGGGAACAGGACAGTCTTATTATTTCAAAAACAGGCTATTCTAATAAGTAATAAATAAATAAAAATCTATTTTCTCAGCTGCCACATGCTTCGGTAGTAAGAACAGATAACATCTTCGATCTTTAACGAAGCCAAGCGCCAAGCTAAATATTTAATGCCCATTATCTTATTCAATCTTCATTTCTAAAACTGATGCTACATCTTCTCTTACTTGGATTTTACCTGCCAAGAAACGGAGGCATGGAGAAATAACCTGCCCAAAGCCACACAACCAGTACAGAAGAACAGAGATGCAAATCCAGGTCCAACCCCCAAGCCCAGGCCCCGCGCCGCAGGCCACACGCCTCTGAGGCACCACGCAGTCACGCACCTCGAACAAGCGTGTGCACGAGGTGCCGGCCGCGTTTCACACAGCCGAGCCAACTCGACACCCACAATAATTCAATGGGATGCTTGCTAAAACATGGCAAGTGGATTTCTTTATGTTTTTCCACAAATCTCTGCTGCATGTGACTGGTTTAGGTACCAATTTACTGATCTGTCATTCTGCCCAGGGCAGTAGTTCTCTTCCAGGTGCTTTGGTTAAGACAAAACCGCTCATGGAGCACCTGGGTGGCTCACTCGGTTGAGCGTCCCAACTTCGGCTCAGGTCATCATCTCATGGCTTGTGAGTTCGAGCCCCACACGGGGCTCTGTGCTGACAGCTCAGAGCCTAGAGCCTGCTTCGGATTCTGTGTCTACCTCTCTCTTTTTCTCTCTCTGCCCTTCCCTGCTTGTGCGCTCACTCGCTCTTTCAAAAATTAACATTAAAAAAAATTTTTTTAATAAAAAAGACACAACTGTTCTTATCTTTCAATCACAGACAGGAAGGAGTCATTTAATACTCTCTGAAAACACCTGTGTACCTGCACGCACGTGTATACAGAAGGATGGGGGTGGGGGGGAGCGGGTACTCAGCGCTACGGCACACACGCAATGAGGAGATGGAAGGATAATATCTACCAATGTTTACCCACCAATAGTTCAGATCCCAAGCGCCTAATGAATCTGCCGTGTTCCTTACCAGCCGAACTCTGCTTTAATTCTGCAACTTTCATAAAAGTGAAATAATAAACACTTCAATTCTCCTAGATTAAACCTCTTCTTGGGGGTGTGGGATGGTTTTTACACCCTAACTCCCTAAGCGAGGTTTGCGGCACAGACCTGGTCAATGTTGAGGCGGAGGGGCGTCAGTGACACTCTGAGGCAGCACTCCTGGGGTGACCTGCCCGACTCCGGGCGCACGTGTAAAGCTTTCACGGTCAACTGCAAGGGGAGAAAAACATTTTCCCCCTATGACGTTACAACCTTGTTTTCATTTAAAAAGGAAAAACAGAAAAGAAACAAAAGGAAAAAGAAATCCCATTTCTATTTCTGGCATGAGAACTCAAAGTGGAATTGTTTAGCCTTTTTCCTTAAAAGCCTGGGTCACACTCTCCTGGGTCATGCACTCCCTGAACGATCTCCAGAGAGGTGTGGACTCTCCTTAGCAGAAGAAGACAGCGCTGTGTGTACGGACTCGCAGGGGCTTGCGGGCCCCGGAAGCTGGCTAGGGCCACGCTCCAGAGACAGCCGCTGTGACGTTTTCCTCCAGCAGGCCTGAGCCAATCATGCCTATTCCACTAAAACTTACAAAGTGCTAGACTTTATTGCTGGAACATTCCCAGCAATACTAAGTGTCCCATGTAGATCACTATGGGCTTCCTGTTTTCCTCAGACATCAATATACTGGCAATTGTAATGAATGGACCCTCAAAGTGACGTGTAAAATAATTTTTAAAACCTAAAACTTTAAAAGCAGCATATTTCAAAGGGATTTTCATATTAAAATGATTTAAAAAAAACAACAACCAACCCAGCAATTTCCCCCAGTCTAAATCTTCTGCAGTTACATATAATAAAAGCGCTCTCCCAGCACTAACCCGGGGGCAGTAAACAGGAGCTTAGGTCTCACCATGTTAGAATGCGCCTTCCGGGGCAGCTCTTTGCTGCAGTACAGGTACAAGAACTTATTCATCTGCGATGTTGCCAGACGGTCTCGGATTTCAAGATCCTGCACGGTGAGCACCTGGCGGGACACCGGGTGCTCCGAGAGGCTGGGGTCACACGCTGGCGTGCAGGGTGGGTAGACCTCGTGCTGGAACTTCACCTTCACAGACACCAAGACACACACGGCAATTTTTACCTTTTCTTTAAATTAAAGCCCCTTTAAAATGCAAAACATCGCCCCTCGTTTATGGACTTCTCAGCTTTCAATTCCACTTTCAGAGAACAGAACAGTTCTTCATTTGTTCACTTATTTATTGACCTGCGTGTCCCCTCCGAGGATAAGCTTGACTGACATTTCTTACTTGATCTTGGCAAAATCCCTATCCTTTTCAGGCAAAACCCTCAACAGGAATAACACACAAGATCAGCATCTGGTGTTCCTATGAAATTGCTTGAAAATGAATCAATGGACGCAGGGGTTCAATTTCCCAAGGGGGAAGGACAAAGGTAAATGAAATCATGGAATTTTCGTCACTGCACTGTTTCTATGGGGAGTACCCTACCCTCATATATGACACTGGGCACAATCCCAGACGAGCTGAAAGAAGTAAATGCACAGAACGTCCCTGGTGGCCTGGCCACACTGGTCTCAGACATTTGTGAGGGATGGACTGAGGTGCTGTCCACGGCAGGGCCCCTCCCCCAGACACTCGAGGGCAGTGGTTCCCCAAGTGTGGGCCTGGGAAAGGGAGTATCTGAACCACCTGGAGACTCATTAAAAATGCAAAGTCACGGGCCCCACCTCACACCTACTGAATCAGAAACTCTGGGGCCCAGCAACCTGTGCTTTAACAAGCCCGCAAGGTGCTTCTGACACTTGTTCAACTCGGAGAGGCGCCCCTCTAGGGAAGGCCTGGGAAAACACAGACAAGAGCGCTCAAACTTCTCAGAACGTCTGAGAAAGAAAAAGAGGTCGAAGTCTTACAGGATCCCCTGCACTTTTCCAATCCAGAGGACTGGGACTCATGGCTCAAGGCCACTGGGTGGGGGAGTGACCCCAACACCCCCATGAACGCTCCTACTTCAGTGGCTTTTTCCTTTGAGCTGCCATCTTACCTTGCTTAACTGTATTTCCATTAAAAAGTCATGGTTTCTTCCTTTGCCTCCACATGCCATGTTACGTCCATGCCGCGTGGGTGTGTGAGAAGGAGAGCTGTGAGGACTGCTGTAAATGGGGAAAAAACAAAAAACAACCAAAAAAAAAAAAGCCAGAAAACCCTTTTGTTAAAGAAATATTCAAAGAAAGGCCATGAGTGATCTCAGGAAAAATGGCAAGATAAAGAGAGAAACTAAGACTGCGAAGCTATCCGCATGGTGCCACTAACTGTCTATGTATCAAAGCCATACCTTTACGCTCTGGAGACCCTGAGAACATGACGCTTATCTCTGCCATTCCGGCAGTCATTGGCCTGCTAAATACTCAGAACTGCAGGAAAACCTAACTGCGATGTTCATGTAACAGGACCCGCAGAAGACAGACCTCCTGGTAAGTTCCTTATTACTTCAGAAACTCCTTACAGTTAGAGAACAAGTCCTAAAAACCCCTGTCCTACAAAAAAGAATTCTACTAAAGTCACAACTTTTTAAAAATATCACTTTTAAATAGAAAGTCCTCTACGCTGTTGTGCCCAAGGTCCCCACTCCCTGAGGCCTCTTCGGACTCCCCTGACCCAGTGAGAATGCGTGCCCCCACCTCTACCTGCTTCCTCGATCTAGCCCTCTGCCACCACCACCGAATGACACACACACTGAGCAAGTACTTCAGGAGATCGAGCCCATGCCTGGCACCCAGCTGGATGCTGGAGAGTCAAGGGCACATGCGGTCCCAGCCTCCTGAGGCACCCGCTTTACTGCCTCGGGCTCATGTGCTCACATAACGGTCCTTCTGACTGGAGGCCAGGGCCTGGGTCTTCTTCATTTTGGTGAATGTACCTCTAACATAGGCTCCGGCACGTGGTAGGTACCCCGAAGTTTTGCTGAACAGAAATCACTTAAGTTGCCATATTTTGGGAAATATACGTACAAATACGTTCACAAATGAAAAGCTGTAACACTAAAGAAGTAACCTAAATTATATAGTTCTCAATACTATTTTATTAACATTCCTTAAAACGACAGATACTATGTATTCTGCTATGAAAAGAACATAGTCATCTATAAAAAAAAACTTCTGTAGAAATCAACTTACATATAACTTTTAGCTGGAGAAGTAGGAGGGGCTGTTCCAAAATCCTTTCCTCCATAGAGGTGCCAAACCACAGAGATCTCTTTAACCACATACCGGACGACAGGGATGGGAAAGTGCAGTGGGGCTTTGCTCGTATCGGTCTTCTTAACAGGCTGACTAAAATAATTCTCTCTTATTACGATTGCATCATCAACCATAATCTTTACAATTGGTTCTTCTTCCTTCTCCTACAATAAACAGGGAACACACATATCGTGTCGCCGAAGGAGCCACTGATTACGCTGCATATCTCGAGATTTCTTGATTCTGCATTCTTTTCAACAATTTCAATACACAAAATGGGGCAAGTTACAATGTAGTAATCACCACGTTGGATACTCTGCATTATTAGTCATAAAATGGATTTTCTGTTCTATGTAAATCACTCCGTAAAAATGTTTTATAGTCCCTCAATTCAGCTTTTACTATTTGATAATAAAAAGGCACGGATTTACTGGGTGTGTGTCTGGGTGTATGTGCAGGGGGGTGTACAGTTCTCTAATTCAAAGCCAATACTACGTTCCAAACTTAATGTACTTCAACATGCTGGCCAAATTACCATGATCCTAATAATGAACTTACTCTGAGTTTGATTGTTTTTTAATTTCCCAGGATGTTTCACCATTTTAGTAAACTGTGGATTCATTAAATCCAGGCCATACTTTTTAAATATGAGGATTACTAGGGGCGCCTGGGTGGCTTAGTCGGTTAAGCGACCGACTTTCGCTTAGGTCATGATCTCGCGGTTCGTGGGTTCGAGCCCCGCGTCGGGCTCTGTGCTGACTGCCAGCTCAGAGCCTGGAGCATGTTTTAGTCTGTGACTCCCTCTCTCTCTGACCCTCCCCTGCTCACGCTCTCTCTCTCTCTCTCTCCTAGAAATAAATAAAAACATTAAAAATAAATAAATAAATAAATATGAGGATTACTCTCTGGGGCACCAGAAGTGAAGCCTATGACTCTTGATTTCGGGTCAGGTCATGATTTCACAGTTCCTGGGATCAAGCCCCACATTAGGCTCTGAGTTAACAGTGCAGAGCCTGCTTGGGATTCTCTCTCTACCTCTCTCTGACCATCCCTGACTCCTTCTCTCTCCTTTAAAATAAGTAAACATTAAAAAAAATAAATAAATGTGAGCATGACTCTAACATGGAAATTCTACGTATCAACCATCCATCAGCCTTCACACAAACTGTATCTTATCTTTCCCAATTCTTGGACTAGCAACTCTGTATATACTCCTTTCTGCCATTTCTTACTCTGAAGAGCTTTCTCACTACACATAACATCTGTAGCTTAATAACCTATGTAGAAAATTTTGCAAATATACAGCATTCTTCTCTGAGTCTCGGAGAAACGTGTCATAGAGATAGTAAAGTATGGCAAACATATGCAAAGCCTCAATAATAAATTACAAAATGACACCATTCTCAACTACAAAGAGTTAAAATAACCTAAAGACTCTTTTGGGTACCCTTTGATCAATTTTCCTTGGAACACTCCCTTCAGGACTCAGTGACATTATCCATGTATTACCTGAATGGTTGCTCTTGGTGCAAAAAGAATGCAAAAGTCATCATTCTCAGTGGGTGCACCTGTCATTGCATCACTGATCAGGTGGTGTGTGAATGACGTGTAGGCAGGGCTGGGCTCCTGGGACACATTCCCGCTCTCATCTGGAAACAGGAAGAGGTCTGAACAACATGGCTCCTGAAGGTGAGATTTTTCATTCAAAACACCTAGGTTAAAAACCAAAACAAGACAAAAAAACAAAAACCACTCAATTTTGGCACATTTTGAAACATCAACAATAACGCTTAGTAAACATTTTAGCCGCATGTCAGGTGCACACTATGTTGAATGTTTTCACCTGCAATATCTCATTTATTTCTTACACTAACCCTCTGACTACTACTAAGAAGACCGATCACAAGTTTGATGTTCTCCAAGCAGACAATAAATGACGGTCTCATAGACAGTCTCCTCTTAGTAATTCGGCGTGAGCGAAGCTCAGAAATTCAGCAGCAGCTGGTTAATGCTGACTGGAGGTTCGTTAGAGCCCGATTTTCATATGAACAACTCTGCCCTGTGGGTGGAGCTCTGGAAGAAACTTCTGGGACAATATTGCAAGCAGGGGTGGGAGGGGAAGTGGGTTATATCTGGCAGTCCCTCCCCCCAAAACTACAGGAAGTATCTGCTTCTGGAAGGGGGTGGGAGAGACAGCAGTCAAGTGGTTTTCGGCCAGGGGGTGGAGCCAGGCAGCAAACAGACAGCTTCACCGGGGGCCGGGCATCCCAACGGGACCCTCCTCTCGGGGGCTATGGCAGTGGGAAGCTCACAAAAGACTGTATGTGAGCCAAAATCTGCACATGAACACACATTTTCACGCATTCTATCACCTAGCAGGCCCACTACTTCCTCTATTCAGTCGTTCCAACCACTGAACGGATGGAGAAGCCTTAAGAGGCTCACAGACCCGATTTTACTTCTAAGTTACTCATCCTTTACCATCTCAGCCTGGTGCACCGGAACACTGAAGCTGCTCAGCAAATATTCATGAAATATTCTGTCCCACATAAGCACATTAGCTGCTAATATTTACGATAGATACTGTAGCACACAGGAAGCTAACAGTTCCTACTTGCTTCCTGAGCTCTCCTTTATTTCAAATTGGAACAGAAGCAATATTTAACGCTAAACTTTTCTAACACCAGGAGATAATCTTTTAAAGCTGAGATTTCAGAATATATAGAAATGACTATGTTTATCCAATTAGAAAACAGTTACTTAGATGCTTCAGGTGGGCTATCAAGGCTCTGTTGCCAGCTGGCTCCTCCCCGTCTCTCCAACTTCACTGGCTGATTCTTTTCAACGAGAAGGGAGCTTCTGTGCCAGTAACAGCCGGGGCTGTGAGATAATTAAGGCTCATGCCTGCTTCTGTGCCTCTGTCCATGTTCACGATCTTGCCAAGTTTACCTTCTCTCCTCTCCACATCCCTAAAGCTTGTCCACTTTTGAAAAGCCGCTCGTGTCACTTGCGCTGAAGCCTAATGAGATGGTCCTCATCCCTCCTGAACAGTAGTTAGGGGATGGGACCCTTCCTGAAGCGCTTTCTCATGTCATTTCTCAATCGTTCTAAGTAAGAGCATCAGTTTGGTTTAGTGCCGATCTGTTTTACGAAACTCTACGCTAACAGCAAAGATAAGCTTTGTCTTCCATTTGATCTGTTTCCCCCACGCCGCCACCCCGGCCAGTGTCATTTATCTACTAGACACTCGATAAACACAAGCTGACTCACTACTAAATATCCACCAAAACTCAGACTTGTCTTTTGTTAATAAGTTACTTACTGAAGAATTTACATGCGTACAGATAACATAAGCCTCAACTACAGCCCCGGGGGCCACGGGGAAGAAGGCTGGGCCCGTCCTACCATTCGACTGGGCTTGTGTGGACGCGGCGGCCTGCTGCAGGTCAAGCTCCTCCATGGCATCACTCATCAAATCCCGCAACATCTGCTGATCCGCTTCAGGAAGCACTGGGCCCCGTGAGGCTGAGCGACCACTGGAATCTACCTACAGCCAAAACACCTATTTAAAAATACCTGAAAATGCTCTCAGAAGCAGATGACGTAGCATGGTTTTGTCCTGGAAACACACCACATTTTACAAACACACCAGAAGTGGGAACACAGGCAGTGTTGTACATTCTGCCCAGCAGCGCTTACATCTTACATTTTCAGCATTGTCACCATCACCCTGACAACTACTGGCAGCAGAAATAAATATGCCATCAGCTCCCAGGCAGCACAGGGAACCGGGGTCACAGAGAGACAGAACATCAAAGGAGAGAGGATAAAAATACTGCAGTGAGGCCTGGGGCGACGGAGTCTCTCTCCGCAGAGCTGGATCTGCTCAAATCCAGCAGCTGCAACAACGCTCGCTCCTGACTCCGAGCCGCTGGTGCTCAGAGCCTCGGGTCTCGGGATGAATGGACATCCAAGGACAGCAGGGGGCACACACAGGAGGGGAAACCTACTGAATGGGGGGCAGGGCTCAACTCCAGCACTGACACTTCACCATTTTGGTCAGTGAACGGTGCACTCGTTAAATCCAGACCACGCTTCTTAAATGGAAGCATGGCTCTAAAGTGGAAAGATCCAATTTGAAAGGGGTAATTTAAAGCAACTTTTAGTAAACTGGAGAATGTTTTTAAAAAGAGAATAAACAACCGAGAGGGAGTGTCATGAATCGCCCTCTAATCAGTGGGAATATAGCAGGAGCAAGGAGTCAAAAACAGAAGCGTAACACAAATGAAGTGCAGAAGCATCCTGAATGAAAGTCAAGGCCAATCAGACCCTTACTAGAGGCTCCATCACTGGAGAGACTGAGAATTCTGTTCACAGACCAGACCATGAAAAAGAATGGAAAAACACTTAACAAGGGGCACCTGGGTGGCGCAGTCAGTTAAGTGCTTCACTTCGACTCAGGTCATGATCTTGCGGTTTGGAGGTTAGAGCCCCGCGTCTGGCTCTGCTGACAGCTCAGGCTGCTTCAGATAGGGGGTGTGGTGTGGTGTGGTGTGGTGTGGTGTGGTGTGGTGTGGTGTGGTGTGGTATGGTGTGGTGTGGTGTGGTGTGGGTGTGTGTGTGTGGGTGTGTGTGTGTCTGCCCCTCCCCCACTCACCCTCTGTCTCTGTCTCTCAAAAATAAACATTAAAAATATTTTTTAAAAAAGAAAAAACGCTTAACAATTAAAAATGCTAAACACACTCAACACTGTTCAATCTAGATGTAAGAGAGGACAGAGAGGTACATATGGGGGCATAAGAAAGCACTGACCTGAAAATCAAAATATCTGAATTTTGTTGCCATTTTTACTACTAGGTTGGGTAAATCACCTCAGTCTCTGGGTTTTAACTTATTTATCTGCAAAACACAGATGATAATCTTTATTCTGTCATACTAGGTTAAGGGAAACCACACAGGAGAATATAGACTGAAAACCAGACAGAACCCTACATAACAAACATGAAACCTACAGAACAGAGGTCTTCTGGAAACAATATGTTTCCTGCGTCTCCCCCTCTCGGATGCAGTTTTACACCTGACTTACACCTCACAAGCTCTTACATGCTAAGTGTTTTCTTTCTGCCCGGAGGGGAGATGAAATAACTGAAGTCTAGAAAAAACTATCATGTTGGCTAAGAAGATTAGGGTTTTGAAACAAAGAATATCAAACAGTGGAACGGTTTTCCAAAAAGGCCCCTGGATGCACCTTTCCAGACCCCACCACTCTGAAGGTAAATAACAGATGATTTTCGATGTTTCTTTGCTACCTCATGACGGTCATGAAGACCTCACTGACCACCCCTGTCACCTAAGTGGCTGCAACGGGTCACAGGGAGTAAGTTCTCATGCACGCCGCCGCCGGCTGTACCTGTGTCTTTCTTTCAGGGGCTCCCGGCTCCGTTTCCGCCTTGTTAGCCCCGTGTAAGTCCCCGTAGCTTGCGATGTATTGAATGAGATTCATTAACGCAGCACAGGAGTCCGAGCACGTTCTGATATGGACGATGTCACTGGAACAGTGTAGCTCGAAGCGCGGCTCGGTCTGGATGGAGACAAGGGAAAAAGGATGAAAACATTTTCCAGGGGCACCCGGGGCTCAGTCAGCTGAGCACTCAACCCTTGGTTTCAGTTCAGGTCATGACCTGACAGTTTGTGAGTTCAAGCCCCACATTAGGGGCTTCTCCCTCCCCTCCCCTCCCACCCCACCCCCGTCTCTCCCTCTCTGTCTGCCCCATCCCCGCTCGAGTTTGTGCTCTTTCACAAAAATAAACTTTAAAAAAATATTTTAAGAAAATTTTTTTCCAAACACAAGGTAAAATTTTCTTGTGTTGCATAGGTTTACATTAAAATAGAATTTTTCTTGCCACAGGAAATGTGTATTTATAATGAGTAAATCCCAATTTTAAAATATTTTATCTACTTTTGACCAATTTTTACAGTAAATTCAATACTTCTATAAAAAGTAGGACTTAGATAAAAATTTCCATTTATTTTAATGACTTACTTGCTCTCCATCAGAATCAGATTTCACTGCAGTGATGGTTAGTTCCAAAAGCCCCATATCCATCACACGGACATAATCTGAAAGTTTTTAAATTAACAAAATGTCGGAGCAAAGCTTTCAAAAAATGCTTATCCAACCAACATGTATTAAAACTAGCATCTCTTGGGGCGCCTGGGTGGCTCAGTCAATTAAGCCTCTGACTTCGGCTCAGGTCAGGATCTCACAGTTTGTGGGTTTGAGCCCCGCATCGGGCTCTGTGCTGACAGCCAGCTCAGAGCTGCAGCCTGTTTCAGATTCTGTGTCTCCCTCTCTCTCTGACCCTCTCACCTGCTCATGCTGTCTCTCTCTCTCTCTCTCAGAAATAAATAAAACATTAAAAAAAATAAAACTAGCATCTCTTTAAAATTCATGGCATAATTTGATGCATTTAACTGACGTTCTAAGGCCATGACAACTTCAAACTGGTGCTTAGTAAGATCCTCAGTTCAACGGCATCATTCCAGAGTTCGAATGCTTTAAAATACTCATGTACAAAAAATAAAGAGCATTCTCCTACCCTAGATTTGTTTTTCAACTCTTACCTCTATTCAAATTTATGGTAACAGTATTACACTTGTCGGACAAATGTAAAGCAGCTTCATCCATGATTATTCTGAGGAAAAAAGATAAAAATCAACATCTAAAAACTTAACTTGGAATACACAACACGTGATCACGGCACACTTAGGTGTATCAGATTGATAAGTTATCAAAGTCATGTAAAGTTTCTTACAAGTGCCATCTGACATTTCCTTAAATTTCACTGCTTCTGCTAGAAGGACTCAATGTGTGCAAAGAGGAAGACTGAATCATCTGCTCAAATTCATTTTAAATTTTCAGCATGTTTTGATAGATGCCCAAATTCATAAGACTTAAATTAGGAAAATAAAGGGTATCAGATCATATGTGAAGTTTATATTCTGTTTTAAGAAGTAAACTATCCATCCCAAGAATTCATTTCCTCCCTAAAAATGAAAAACATGGATATACAGAAGGGATGGGACGAATCATCTGAAATCTAAAAATTAAAAACCTGGAGTGAGTAGCCGGACTACGAGGAAAAGAATGCTGGTGTTAATGAAAGACTGGGACTCTTATCGGGTTTAGGTGAGTATCAGGCAGCATGTTTGGACCAGCTGCATTTAGTAGACACCAAAGTTCACAGACACCTGAGAGTAGATGATGATTTATCCAAGGCCACGCTACTCGAGACACTGAATGTTTCCACGGTGAGAAGAGATCGAATCGGCAAATAAAGAGGCCTAACACCGAAAAGAAACAAAAAAACATCACTTGGCTACCACCACAAAAACTCCCTCAAAAGGGCAGGATCAACCTTAATTTGAATTAAGTATTTTTTCAAAACTTAGTACGTATTTTGAATAGTTTTATTTTGTTCCATCTGTGAACTAACCTATAATCGAGTGCACAGCTCCAGAGATGAACGTGAAAAGTTGTAAATGAAGTTGGAGGATTATATCCCAGGACAGGTTCATCAGCAATATTCAAGAAGTATAAAATCTATAATCACAAAAATAGTAAATGCCCTGCTTTAGAAGGGAAAAAAAAAAGTTTTGATAGGACGTCCTTAATACCAATGTAAAATAAAAGATCTCACAGAAAAAGCAAAACCAAAAAGCAAACCATTTATTGAAAAACTAAAGCTGAAAGAAAATACTCATCATTTTGAAGGAATTCATTTCAAAAAGTATTTGCAAAACTAGCTTGAAATGGAGAGAGGCCATCTGACCGCTGCAATGCTACAGACATCTTGGCAAAATCCTACCTTACGAAACTGAAGCATGTATGATACACTTTCACGTTACTTTGCCAGGGACAATTCTTGAAAAAAAAATTTTTTGCTAAAGACCACTTATGCTCCCCGCCTGGTTTTATACATAATCCATTTTTGGGGAAAGTTATTCCTCCTTAAATTATACCTAACTCAGTATGAAAACCAGTCTCTCTCTCACCAACATCTATTCTCCCAAATTTCTATCTAAATGAGGTTAGACCAACCTCTCCCTTACAACCGAGCTCAGTATTCACACGAATCAGTGCTTTACCCTCACCACGCTGGGCTAAGCCTCCTGTGTTTCCTAAATGCTCTGATGAAAGCTCTCTGAAAACTTGCAAGTATAAAATATTTTCAGAGCAAAAGGAAAAGTTCCCTTTTCTAAGGAAAATGAACAAAACTCACTATGCACTAGTTTTCATTCTCACATAGAAAAGAATTAACCAACCGTATTTCATTAATCAAACAGTTGTTACACTGGAAATTAATTACAGAAATCCTTATAAATGCCTCAATGCTTGTTACTGGCTTAGGGAATCATTCTGAAATTACAGCTCTTAAGGGATATAGGGTTAGAAGTTCAATCACTACCTCATTCATTTCCCCTCTATACCAGGTGCTCCAAGGTTCTGGGACACAGAATCCCTTCCCTTAAATGACATATATGAGAACTCTGAGAGGTTTAGGGCCCAAATTTCAAGGTAAAAAATCCATTTCATTCTGGAGTGGTGATAATGTTCTATTTCAGAATACACCTAAGAGGTGGTTACATGGGAGTGTTTACCTCCGTGGAAATTCGGTGAGTGCGGATTCTGTATGACTGGTGACTCTACAGTGTGTGTATTACACGTCAGCATGAAATAAGAAGTAAACCAATCCGTGCAGAACAACTCTCTTACCTGCTCGTGCCAGCTAAGCCCAGAAGGAAGGATTCTGTGCTGGAGTGTGGCTCCTTTCAATCCCACAGCAATGAGAAATTCCTACACACAACAACACAGAGAATTCCATTTACCACCTACGTAACCCTCTAATTCAAAACTTGAAAAGGTTTTCTAAGGAAAAAATGTGTTGCCTTTTATGCGATCACGTTTAGCTAGTAATCAAATGGATGGCAAGCATTTGATGGTATAAAAATACAAAAGACAAACCTTTGTGTTGGACTCTGATTTATCAGACAGTATTTTAACTGCAACAGAGAGCATATTCAAAGGATCTCCTCCAACACCATCTGAAGCGGCTCTACTGACGCCATCTTCTTCAGAAGAATAAATAGTAGGTTCCAACCAATGTGGGCGGGTTGAACTGGGCAGTCGTGTTTCTGTAGGGAGAATCGCTCCATCCACTATGCCTATATCCACAATGAGAAGACAACAAAATGATAATCTGAAATTAGTTCATAGACTTTCGAAACTCAAAACTCCATACACTTCCACTGAATATAATGACCCAGAACCAGCTTGACATTACTAATCTGTACGTCTCTGCTAATGTTAGTATGAATGATGGTACCCTGCCAAAAAAAAAAAATTAAGATAGGAAATGATTTTAGGAAAATTAAACAGAAAAATCTGATAAACATGAAGACTGTCCAAGTATGGTTTTCTACACTTTGGGAAACAAAAAAGAAGAATGGTGCAAGTCTCTTCTATTTTCTATTCACAAGGTAACAGGGAATGTACATAAAGGGATGTTAAATTCTGTATTTGTTAGCATAAGGAGATACTGCTTAAGAGTAACAAATGTAAAGTCTCATCAACTCATTGGTGGATAATAAGATATGGTATATCCGTAAATGGAGTTATTATTCAGCAATGAAAAAGGTTAAAACACTGTCATACTTGGATGAGGCTTGGAAACATCATACAAATGAAAGAAGCCAGTCACAAAAGACCGTGTACTGAATGACTCCATAAACATACAGAATACATAAATCCACCAAGTAGATTAGAGGTTAGTTAGTGCTGGGGCGGGGTCAGGGGATAATGAGGGTTATGGGAGGGGTACAGCTAAGGGGTACATAGTTTCTTTTAGGGATGATGAAAATGTTCTAGAGTTGACTGTAATGATGGTTACAACTCTGTAAAATACTAAAAACCAGTGAAACGTAGAGTTTAAATGGGTGAAATACACAGTGTATGAATCATATCAATAAAGTTGTTGCCTCCCCAAAAAACCAAAACATCAACTCCTAATGTACAATAAGCATTACTTGGCCAGTGGCATCAGAACACCCCACAGAAAACAATTTCTATTATCAGAGTTCTGTTCTCAGTAGATTTTATGAAACAAAATTTAAACCGGTCTAAACAGAAGCGAACAAACGCACATGAAACGTGTCCTACCTTTGTGGTACAGACTGAAGCTGCTAGAATGAAGGCAGATGTAGTGCTTGTCATCAAAACCTTCGTATTTTGTCACACAAAACAAGGAACCACTGTTGAACTCTAACCAGAATTCACCATGCGTATTTTCCAACAGCTCTCCATTATCTTGCTAATAAAAAGATCGGAAAAACACAGAAGCCATTATTTAAATGCAGAAAAGGAAGAATGGCCCTTGGGTTGCTCCTTCCTGATTCAGTTTAGAAGATTCTCCCATGTGGCCACAAACTGGTCTGATTCTGGAACCACCCACCAGGGTGGTATTAAAAACCGAATAATCAAATTCTGGGTGGGGCCTCTTCTGTCAATCCCGGTACTTCATCCTTTGTACAGATGAAATTTCTAGTCATCACTTCAGGAGCAGAACCAGCATTTTTGCCAAAAGAAGGACCATATAACGCTGTCTTCCGATCTGCAGTGACAGACTGATCTTCCCCAAGTGGGAGACAACCTCACACTCCCTGGATGAGAGGACGCTTGTATAGATGGGGGAGATTTGAAACGAGATACACTCGAAACACTTTGCATTTGTAAATCCTCACCTTTACTTCTGTAAACACGGCCATTAATCCATGATTAACGCTCAGAAGAACAGACAGAAAACTTTGTGAGTTCTTGTTCTGAGAGTCTAGTTTTTTTTTCCTACGGGACCGGTAGTTGGGATCAACAGTAGAAAAATACTGCAACGTCTCCTCCTCAGATCCACTTTCCTCATCTGTGAGAAACAAATGTCAAAAATCTATGGTTCTGACAGTTATGAAAATAAAACAGTACCTGGAACAGTATCGCAATACTTATCTCACAACCTGTTTTTTACCGAAAATCTGGCATGACAATAAAAATGTACTTTCTATATTGTTCTTTCCCACTTAAGACCATGTATATACTGTCCCTAAAAGACAACATATTTCATTGATGCCATTCTCAATATGGACATAAAGTGGGGAAATACCGGAAGTTACTAAGAGATGTTATAAAATATATTACAAGTAGAAAACAGCCAAGAAACATTTTGATATCAATTGAGAAAAGGTTACTAATTTTAATTCAGAACAGATTTAAAATACATTACCATAGTGAAGTGTAGATTTAAATTGACTAAAACTATCTTTGTTGAAGGCATTAATCAGTTGGCTGGCCACGGAAAGGCCATGTGAAATATTCTCAAATGTCTCGACCGGTGAAGGAGCCGTCGGCTCCCAAAGCAGCAAGTCATTAAAGATCCTGTTATAGACACAAGGTGACAAGTAAGTACGTTAACTCGTAGTTCAAGTGGAGGTACACTAAAGCACAGGCCTTTATGAAGGCACAGGAATAATGATTTTTCTAAATGGTGACAATGGTGACACAGAAATTAGATCCTACCCAAAAAAAAAAGTTTTTAAGCATTAATTATGTTCTTCTTCTTTTTTTTTTTATGTTTTATTTATTTCTAGGAGAGCGATAGAGAGACAGCATGAGCAGGGGAGGGTCAGAGAGAGAGGGAGTCACAGACTGAAACAGGCTCCAGGCTCTGAGCTGGCAGTCAGCACAAAGCCCGACGCGGGGCTCGAACCCACGAACCGCGAGATCATGACCTAAGCGAAAGTCGGACGCTTAACCGACTAAGCCACCCAGGCGCTCCTAATTATGTTCTTTCAATGGAAAAATCACTGGGCTGGACGTAGTGCAGGGCGGTGAGAAAGGCATCTGTGCGATGCGATCCCTACTTTGCTAGCTACCCAGTTGTGCCTGTGTGGTGTGCCTCGAATTACATACACCCAAAAGCACTTTAATGGAGGAAGTTAATCTAAAACCCACGAAGAGCAAGAAAGCGGTTGACAGAGGAGCGCACACCTCGTTCTGTCTCATCTGACGGCCCCCAGTCCCACGGGGCAGCCAAAGAGGAATCATTACCCTCACTTCACACTCGGAGGAGCTGCCTTGTACGGGCCACACAGCTGACGTGCCAGGAGCTGGGGCCACAGCCCAGATCTTGTCCGGCCCCCTCCCCCACCACTCACTGTCCCCAGGGACAAGTGCAGAAGTGCAGCTTCATCAGGGAGAGTGCAGGAGACCAAGAGTGCGTGTGAAGCGGGAACACAGGAGACCCACTCACGAGCGGCCCCGCCAAGGCAAGGGCGGTGACTGAGACACGTCAAGCCAGGCGACTAACACATCCTACTTCTTCAAAGAAACCTGTCACTACCCCACGCCCTTCTGCTCCTGCCCCCACCCTCAGCACCCAGGCTTCACGTTTCCACGAAAACAGACTTCACAACGTCCTCTCTCCCTCAGCAAAACCTTCACGTCTAACTCCATCATGGCACCCATGACACTCTATTTTCTTGCTTCCCCTTCTCAGACTGTAGCCTCTGAGAGAGAGCACGCAGGTCCTGGACACCTTTACATGTGCTCGCACAGTGACTGTCACATAACAGGCAGCGAGGATTTGGTGACCGACAGGGAAGGACTGCCAAAAGCACAGCCTCACATAAAGCCTAGTGTGAATACCACTTACGGTGCCAAGCCATGATGTAGCCCTGGCCCTTCCTGTGAGAAGCCACTCGTCTAGGAATTTTCTGGGCCAATTCCCGAGCTTCTGAAGCCCTAGAAATTATAAACCGGGACGGAGTACTAGGACTCCCAGTAGACTGAAGTCCCCACTCCAAGGGCTCTCCATTTGGACGCGTCAGTAGGTGAAGAATACCAGTGACATGGGCCAGAAATAGGTCTCATCTCAGCCATGATGACAGCTGGGGCCCCAGACAGTGCGGTACTCATTGGCTGGCTGGGCTCTCTTGGGCATATTACTTACTGGACAAAGAAACAAAAGAGTCTAAGCCCTGATCTTACTTTGAACTCCTATATAAATAAATAACGACAATATAAAAGAAAAAAAAAAAACAAAATGAAGAATTTTCTCAGGAAATACTCTTCCTTTACTTACTCCCTACAACTATTATCTTCGTAAGCTAAAAAGAAACCATTACTTTATCTAAAATCTGGAGTTCTGGTAGGTGACCTGGAGATGTAAGTTTCATATGATTTTACATTTTGGCCTAAACACAGTCCTGATACCATTAATACTATAAAACACTGGATGGTGTTTCTACTACGAAGAAAACAGACAAGACATTTAAGGGCACATCGCCGCGGTTCTGTGGCTATAAGCCTAAAATAGAATATGTTCAATAAATATCTGATCTAGAAATTTTTTTTTTTTACATTCTATTCTAAATACAACTTTCTATCTCAAACATTTAAAACAGAAAAAATGGGCCTGTACCTGAGACTGTGTGTCTAAACAGCCAGCTGACCAAGGGACTGATATATGAATAAACCAAGATCCTAAATGTATGGAGTTAAGGCAGAGTTGGTTATAACTCCTGCTCAGAGTTATGTTTTTAAATGTATGAAAATTAAAAATAAAAATAAATAAAAGTAAAAAATTATATACAATGTTATACACGTGTATATTTTTATATATAATATAAAATTAAATTTATCTATACTGTAAAATTGATGTTAAAATTATATAATTACATAACATGATTATATAATTAAAAGGGCAATATTGAAACATTTCGCAAAACTCGAATGGGGTCGGAGGATTAGGTAGGGCAGAATATCAACTTTTTCACTTTGATGGCTGAGTTATGATTACATGGAAGAATGTCCTTGTTTGTGGGCAATACACATTCAAGTGCTCAGAGAGTCTCAGGTGAGCAGCTCACTCTCAAATGTTTTGAGGGATTGGGGGGAAAGAGCTCTTTGTGATGTTTTCTGTAAGTTTGAGAATATTTGAAAACCTTAGTATTAGCGTCAAAATAAAAACGTACATATTTAAAGGCAAACAAGGAGCAAAGACCTCACACCTGGGAGCGTGGATGCGTGACTTACGAGACCCGCCGGGTAAGGAACCCTCCGTATCTATGTAACTGCGGGCTCTGGGCAGCAAGAGAAGAGGGCAGAGTGAGGTTCCACAGAAACGCTCTTGAGGAGCCCCATTTAACCAACTCCTCAGAAGAACAGATACTCTGGCTCCCCGACAGGTGCAGCCACCTGCCCCACGTGCCATGCTGACTGATGTCCCCATATGCTAACTGCTGGCTCCTTGGGGCTACTCTCCAGCACACCTGAACCTGAGAAGTCTGCTCCCACCAGGCGAGCTCGACGTTCTGTGTATTCAAGTGTCCTCGTGTTTGGCCTCAAATGTGCTCATCCCAGCTGTATTTAAGTATATTTTCATAAAATACTGTGCTAACAGGTGACTTTCAAATATATAGACTGGAAAAATCTTAAAACCCAAGAAGGATTTTGCACTCAGATTACTTTGAACCTGTTTTATCAGAAACTGAAAATTACAGACAAACCCTTTTGGGTACAACAACAACAACAAGGTCCGGTCTTGTATTTAAAACGTGGTAAATGAACATATTTATAAACTGAATGTTTAAGGTACATATTTCTGTTCTGATGTTGCACTTTAACCAACAGCCACCTGCTCGAGCAAATGTAGGAAGAGGAAGAAATGGACTAAGCCCTCTGACCTCTGGGCTGGACTTTGAACTAGTCTTTCATTTTTCTGTCTTAGCCTTGCACATCTGTCAGCTCTTAGATATTTCTCAACTATAAAAGAAGAGTGGTTGAGAGATCAGTGGTTTCCAAACTTTAGATCACGCATAAACCCTAACTGCTAAAAACATAAAAGCCTTCTGATGTGAATTTACAAATTATGTTTTAATCTACATATTATGTATATCAGAAGATATATACACCTTATAAGACTTTTTAAAAAGTTAAACAGAAGAACATTTTCTTCCTACATTTCAATGGACTGTCCTATGAATCTATCTCATCATCAAGACAACTGAACTACATAGATCTTTCTTGAACTTAATTTTCTGGTTCTAAGATCAACAGCCTTGGTCACTCGTAGGCAATAAGGAGGTTCAGAGCTTATTATTAACAGGTAAGGGATAAGAGCCAGGGACATCTGATACTAAGTAAATGTATGGCGGAAACAAGGAGCTTCTGAAAATTAATAAAAATGAAAATAACAAGTTTTACATATGGGAAGCTAGTGATAAAAAGACACTAAGAACATCTTTTTCTAGAAAAGCACATGACCATCTTTAAAGTATGCTACAGAAGAGACTCCTTCCGTGTATGGGAATGAGGACAGTAACAGAGGACCACTGAGTGCTCACCATATGCTCGGCACTGTTCTCAGAACTTTCCGTGTACTGTATCCTCTAATCCTCTAAACAACCCTTTGAGACAGGTATAAGTATCACCCACTTTTTTTATAGATAAGGAAACTGAGCTTAGGGAGGCCACATAAGTTGGGAAGGTCTTCAGAGTCTAGGATATTTCAACTCTTCCCACGTACGTTGGGAAGGTCTTCAGAGTCTAGGATATTTGCTTGGCATGTATGTTTAAGGATATTTATAATCAATTTAAATTGTTACACACAAATTGACAAGTTTAAGTTGCAGAATTCTAACAAGCTGCTTTTTTAAACTCTGAAAAAAGATGCTCCTTATAAAAGATTGAATTTTTTTTTTTAATATTTTTTATTTATTTCTAGTAGAGAGAGAGAGACAGTGTGAGCAGGGGAGGGTCAGAGAGAGAGGGAGACACAGACTCTGAAATAGGCTCCAGGCTCTGAGCTGGCAGTCAGCACAGAGCCCGACGCGGGGCTCAAACCCACGAACCACGAGATCATGACCTAAGCGAAAGTCGGATGCTTAACCGACTAAGCCACCCAGGCGCCCCAAAAGACTTTGAATTCTGAGTGTACCCCAGTACCCACTGGCCTTATATACAGGGATCGCCCCACCAGCACCTGCTGGCCCTCCATACAGGGATCCCCCCACCCAGTACCTGCTGGCCCTCCATACAGGGACCTCCCAACTCTTTTCATATCACTGCACACACAGAAGACATATTTGCTCAGTGCCCAGTCAGAGGTAGGGTGACAGACAGCAACCAGCCAACCACAGTGGAGGAAATAAACATTTCACACACAAGTAACTGGAGTTACCAGACACACTGGTTAGGAAACTCTGCTATGACAACAGCCCACTATAACGGTAAGTTTTGAAATCAACAGCACACAAAGTACCCAGAGATGGCAGATAATATTAAAAGCAAGGAAAGAAAAGGGGAAAGTGGGGAAACAGGGGGGCAGTTAGGCAGAGAAGTCCAATCCCAAAGACTCAACTAAATGTGTTTAAACTCACCTATTATACAGCTTCTCATAAAAACCTTTGTTCGGTAGTGTTATATGAATGCTGGGCAATGTAAGTTCTAGCACATAGTGAGAATTGCTGATTGCTTTATCCTGAAACTCTGTCATTTCCACAGGGTCTCCTGGCATCACCATCTAAAATATAACAGTTTGGTGCAGAAAAAGGATCAAATAACCATTTCGTATTTAAAATAAGAGTAGCATCTTCTTACCCTATGCATAGGACTTGGTGTGTGAGCAATTAAACAAACATGTAATAATTGTAACCAAGGAAGAAATAGACATTATTCAGTCTTGCAGTTAAAAACCCAGCAAAAATAGTATACGAAGTATTTTTTTTTAATTCAGAATGAAAATGATTGGTATATGACAGAGGATAACCCTCTCGTTGCTCGCTCACTTTTATCTTACCTGTTCATTTTCAAACATGACTCTGCGAGAAGAAAAGGGAGAAGGCGCTGGTCTTCGCAGGTCACAAACGTCCTTCAGGGAATGAGCACCACCTTCCTCTTCTTCCTGGTAGCGGCCGTCATTCTCTTCTTCCTCAGCTGCTATTCTCTCCAGAATGGAATGCATAGCTGGCGGATTTATTTTCAGTACAATTCTGATAGCAAAGACAATTTAAAAACTCAAGGTCTAAGAGAAAATTGCAAGGCTTTAACCTTTCTGCAAACTAACACAAAAACCACTGACGACAGGATTCAGCTTCTCTACAAAGTCTAATTATTGACATGTAACCACTTCAGAGTGCGGTGTAGCTTCGAAGTACAGAAGTAAATAAAAGAGGGGCGTTAACATTTTACACTAGGCTAACTAAAAATCTGATCTTTTGAGGATAAAAGGTGATCTTTGAATTTCACGAACAGCCAGCGAATTTTACCTAAGAATTCTATTTATCATCATAAAACCAAATGCTTCAGGGGTTTGCTCTGCCATTATGGAATGCTTGCTGACCTAAGAGACCTACGTTCTAGAAATTGTTCACATGGAAAAGGAGAGGTTGATAAGGGAATAAGCTAGAACTGCAACAATAAAGTAATTTTTCCTTTAGGAATGAAAGGCTTGCAGGGCTGTTGCCCTCGGCCCCTCCCTTCCTACCCCTGCTCACCACTAGTAAAGGCTCTGCAGTCTCCTTAACACCACTGCGAGGCGGCCCGACGTCCCCAAACGAAACAGTGGCCCTGTACCTATAACGGGTTTTCCCCCTACGTAGGTGGGCAGTTGATTCAGTGATGAACAAGGACAACCATTTCCTAACTTAGATACTCTCATATCAAATGTGCTTCCAAATTAAGTGAAGTAGATCCATTTCTTATGATGGAAACTCATACACTAAATTGCCCATGACCAGGCACGTACTGAACACGCCCATCCGAAGAGCCTGCCAGGCCTGATACACTGAGGGCGTGTGTAACATAAGGCAGGCAGAAAACTGGGGCAGGCAGAAAACTGGGGCAAAAAGACAGACCACTTTAATTCTCAGGTTTCAAATATTCAGCTTTCAATATAATAAAAAGTCACTATTTCAAGTAAACTACTTGAAATATATCTTTTAAATATCTCCAAGCCTCCTGTCAGGCCATTAAGTTAAATAATAATATACAAGGAGTGACAACTGTGTTACAGAATAATTAGTAGTCTATAATAAATATAATTATTTTATTAATTCTAAGAAATCCTGAGGTAGTTCTTGATACCCACCCACCTGCACACTGGAGTCACCTGGTGTAATTTTAGACCGACTCTTCTGATGCCCAGGCTCGAACCCAAAATCTCAGGGCAGGGTCCATGAGTCAGTATTTTGTAAAAGCTCCCAGATTTGAAAAACAGTGTCCTAAAGAGATCACGGACTAGAAGACTCATTTGACAACTAACCACTAAATGATGCCACACAACTCTTCTCCTAGAGCCCTGGCGGGTTTTAAGAGTTCAGGATTCTGGGGCGCCTGGGTGGCTTAGTCAGTTAAGCGTCCGACGTTGGCTTAGGTCATGATCTCGCGGTTCGTGGGTTCGAGCCCCACGTCGGGCGCTGTGCTGACTGCCAGCTCAGAGCCTGGAGCCTATTTCGGAGTCTGTATCTCCCTCTCTTTGACCCTCCCCTGCTCACACTGTCTCTCTCTCTCTCTCCTAGAAAAAAAAAAAAAAAAAAAAATTAAAAAAAAAAAAAGTTCAGGATTCTTCTGTCCCTCTAGTTAAACTGTGTAGCTTGAGACCAGGGAATACACTTTACGCTTCTTCTCACACGATACCAACAGATACCTTTCACAGAGTAATACACTCAATATACACTTTTAAGTTTATTTTATCCATCTTCCTCTGAGCTCTCCCATTAAGGCTAAATATTTCTAGTTTAAATTCATAGCCAAAATGTCGATTCATACCACTGCAGCAGTTTATTTTTGAAAGGATAATCTCACTAAATGCCTATCATACACATCTGCTACTCACCGTGGCCAGTCGAAGTCATCTGATGATGCTGTATCTCCATCTACCCCACTACACACATGGAAAAACTTAATAGATGGTTCTCCTTTATCTTCCTGGAAGGACCCTAAAGAAACAAGACTGATTCACTAAAATGCATTTTGTCTCAAGTGCTAAAAGAAAAAGTGGTTTCGTTCTTACATAAGCACAGATCCTCTAGATCAGGGACATGGGGCAACATGAAATTGTTCAGCACTTATTTTTTTGTCCCTATCTCATGGGTACATGTAGGGAGACAGGATGAGCAGATGAATTAAAGATGATGTTTTCTGTTCAGATTCAAATTCTTAGGTACCAAGTTCAATGTATGTAAGGTGCATAATCATGACATAGTAAATACAGCAGGTGCCACTTACTGAGGGCCTCTAAATGATTATTGTACATAAAGGTTTATACAGTTAATCTAGGAACACAGGGATAATAACTACATTTCTTAAATGTTTTGTACCAAGCGTGGGAAGAATTCCCTCCTTTCACAATAACCAATGCATGATTTTTCAGTCCACTTTACAAAGGACTTTCTCCCAGGATACTGAGTTTCCTATCGCTGTAGATAAGATCGGATAATCCCCAGATCAGCAAGTCAACTGTAAATATCTGTAAAGATGTGTAAAACTCAGAACAAGGAGAAAGAGGCTTTGCAGCATTCCCCTATAGAAAAGTACTTTAACGAAGTGAGTAATCATGGTTAGTAACTGAAAAAAGATTATCTCCCATATTGGTATACATTACTAGAAAAAAGCTACTCCTCTTGTTTTCTAACGGTATGTAATGTTACTATACTGGGGGCTGTCACAGATGCTTTCGTGTTTGTTTCAGTATCAGTTGTTTCTGGTCTGGCTCTTACGGGAACATTCAATCTTACCAACTAGTTCTCTAAAGGTAAGTTCCAATTTAATCTGTTCTGGGGTTGATCCTCCTATAAATTCAGTCTTAAATTCTAGATCTGTGAATGCTAACTGAAGGATCTCCTTCTGAAGTGACTTCTTGAACCACGGTCCTCTTTCCTGATCAGAGCGAAGATCAGGTATTGGAAAGCGAACAGAAAGATTTAATGCCGGTGTGGCAACTTGGACTGATATCCGACAATTTGCAGGATTATGTGAATCATCCAGAAATACTTCAGTGAAAGCCTTGTGCTAAAACACAAAACATCAAAAATACACCAAAATGTCAAATGAATAAGCACAAATAAGGTTAGTATTCAACATTACAATATGTATAATCACTATTTCCTCATTCAGTACCAAGCATTAAAATAAGATTCAAATTAACTACTACCATATTAATTTAGTGCAATGAAATTTTATAATGTAACAGCTATTGGCATCATGCCAAATTACTGGCAAAAGTTAAATCCTCATGTAAAACCGAAAGAAAAACTGAACCAAAGTGAAGGCACAGGTGCTATCGATGCACACATATATTAGAACGGACTGAAGAGGGATAGTGTGTAAAGTAGATTATCAATGAGTCCAATACAGTTAAAAATCAATTTGACACTCAATATGAAGGATTTTTCTACCACTGTGTTACTGGAAAGGCTCAATGTGAAGTAAGATAAATTAAGCCAAATGCAAAGGTTCGCTCATCCAACCCTGTCCCTACTCTGTATTTCCAGGCCGAAGCCCAGGGCCTGGCACAGCGTAAGTTCTAAACATTCACCAGATGACTCACGCTGAGCTCCCATCCAACCCAAGGGTACAGGCCCATCGAAGGGCTCTTAGAAACCCAGACACGGATGCTCCCTTTGCTCAGAGTCATTTTACGACCCAAGTGTCAAAGAACATGCCCTTCAGATAAAGGTCTATTAGTATTTTTCCTAAAATGTATTGAAGCTTACAAAGCTTTAGTCCAGAGTGCACTGCAGGTGAGAGCACCCCTCTACCTCATGAATTGGTATTCTAACCTCCCAGATTGAAACCCCCCTTCTTACCCTAGACTTGGATTTTTTTTTTTTAAATGTTTTATTTATTTCTAGGAGAGAGAGAGAGAGACAGCGTGAGCAGGGGAGGGTCAGAGAGAGAGGGAGTCACAGACGAAACAGGCTCCAGGCTCTGAGCTGGCAGTCAGCACAGAGCCCGACGCGGGGCTCGAACCCATGAACCGCGAGATCATGACCTAAGCGAAAGTCGGACGCTTAACCGACTAAGCCACCCAGGCGCCCCTAGACTTGGATTTTTAACACACCTATCCTTTCTCTCCCCTACCGGACTCTGTAATACTAGCCCCTCTTCCCAGCAAAAATAACTGGAGAGATTAAGCCATCATTCTGGCACATCTACGGCTAGCACACTAGCCCCACAGAACTTCAAGTAACTCGTGATTGGTGAGAACATAAAATAAAGAATGCTGATTTAATGTGAATACCCACCACTCATGAAGGGAGAAACAAGTAAGCAGAAACACAGCTTTTCCCTTTTCTTTTTAAACCAAAGTTGTCTCTATCTGTTCCTGGTCCTTAGAGCCCCCAAATTCCTAATAGATTTCTTGCAAATCTGACTTACTTGAATTGCTTAGAAAAGACACCAAGCACCAGATAGATCTAAGTAAAGGTGACCTAATGTGATGCCCAATACTATAAATTATATTCCCACCTTCAAAAGTATATCTTTCATATGGGCTACATTTTATAGGGAGACCAAGTAGTTTACTAAATGTGTGAATGAATTTTGCACAGATATTGTAATTAAAATTTATAAAATCTGGATAAACACAGAAAAGGAAAGGGAATCTAATTCTACACTCTACCACAATCAATGCTACCAACTGGTACAGTTCCATCCATTCTTTTGCTATACCTCGTTCATTTACACAGTTGTCACAAAAGTTTATGTGGAGTAACATGTTTCACTTTTTCTCTTAATACTCCTTCATGAACTTTCTTCATGTTGCCACCCATCTTTATAACCATCATTCAACATGGCCACAAAAATATTTTACTCCATACATTAGCAAAGCTTATTCAGTTAGTCTACCACCTAGGCAGAAAAGTCTTGGTTTTTCATTATTATGAATAATGCTGTTTTAGTAATATGTGCTATTTAAGCTATTAAGAATACTTAATCTCACAAATGATCTCAATAAGCCCATTAGCTAGCTATACTCATGATTAGCATTTGCAATGTTCTCAATACTTACCAGACTAATATGTTTATTGTATGAAGTATACATGTGAGATGCCATCATTTCCACTGTAGTAAGTTTTTGTGGTTGAAGCAAGGAATTTAATCTGTCCACAATACTGATATCCAGCTCACAAAACACCGGATTTAACTTAATTTGTAATTCTGCCTTCTGAGGAACAGAACTAAGTCTTGCTTGATTACCCTTTAAAAAAAAAAAAGAAAACATTAATAGGACCATCAATACCATAAAATAAAGTGAAAACCTTAGGATTGTGACAAAATACATATCAAATGAAAAGTTACAGGTGGTCATCACATAAAAAGGCTTCTTACCTGGGGTCCTTTATTCTCAGAATGCTTATAATGAAGCTGAAGACACACAGGGGGATGGGAATCAGTTCGCTCTTTGGAATGGAACATTAAAAGCTTATGAGGGAAGATAAAAATAAATTAAATGTAAGGTACTTAACTATCATTAATCCCATGAATTAACAGAGGTGTTAATATAATAGTGGGAAAACCTTAAGCTTTCTGAAGCCAGGAAAGAGGATTTTACATTTCATTTTGGGCTCTTATAAGCAGTGCAAATCCTAGACAAGTTAGTTAGTTCACTTCTGGGATACTTAGGATCTCATCTGTGAAATATACCTGAGAATTCAAGTAAATTAATGCCCAAGAAAGTACTCTGAAAATAAAATAATGTACAAAGGCAAAGTAACAACAATAAATGTTATCACAACTTTGAAAAGTTTCCCTAGAAAACATTTTAGAATTAGAAAAAAAAAAATCAGACTACTAATAAATAAACAAAAGAGATTATGCTGGTATTAAACACTGTTATGAGCACACTGCAAGCATTCAATATTTGCTGAATGCCAAAATTCTTCTGAAATTAATGGTGCTTGAAAAATTAGTGAAATGAAATCATCGGTCTCGTAACATATCTGCCACTCTAAAACAAGTCAACTTTAATTTAAAAGGTCTAACAGAGTCTTTTTCTTCTTTTTTTTTTTAAATATTTTTTTATTTATTTCTAGGAGAGAGAGAGAGAGAGAGACAGCGTGAGCAGGGGAGGGTCAGAGAGAGAGGGAGTCACAGACTGAAACAGGCTCCAGGCTCTGAGCTGGCAGTCAGCACAGAGCCCGACGCGGGGCTCGAACCCACGAACCGCGAGATCATGACCTAAGCGAAAGTCGGATGCTTAACCGACTAAGCCACCCAGGCGCCCCATAAAAGGTCTAACAGAGTCTTACAATGACCTTGGACGTCATACTTTTAAAATGTTCAACAGGGGCACTTGGGTGGCTCAGTCGGTTAAGCGTCCGACTCTTGGTTTCAGCTCAGGTCACAATCTCACACTTTGGGAGACTGAGCCTCATGTGCTGTTAGTACAGAGCCTACTTCAGATTCTCTCCCTCCCCCCCCACCGCCCCTCCCCTGCTCGTGCTCTCTTACCCCCCTCTCAAACTTAGAAACGAAGAATCCTAAAGGAAAAGTATCTAGCATTTACCTCTGTGTAGTGAGGAGGAACAGAATGAAAATCAGTTGGAAATAGGCACTCCAAGAGTTCCATTTGCCCAATGGACATATCAGTACTAAAATATCGGGAAGCTGATCTTTGTCTTTGTTCATAGGACACTTTGACGCCAGTACCTATAAATCTGTTATAAAAAATAAAGCATTTAAGAGTATTCATGCACTTCTACATTAACCAATGTGTTAAAGAAGAGTACACAAGTGTTATTAAAGCACACTTATCTGCCTCTTCTGACAAGTTCAAGTTGTTAGTAATCACTAACAGCTAATATATCCCTAAGGATATTAACCAGAGAGATTGTTTCAAATTTCCCATTCCCTGACATAATGAGGCAGCTCTATTGATAGGAAATGATCCAGGATATACTCATTTCCTAACACTGACCTTCGTTCTTTGGCATTTAAAAATTTACACTGCAGTGGACAAAAATCTTTCACATCTGTAAAATAGACGTAATGGATTCTTAAAATTATCTAAGAGCTTCATGCAATATTTTTCAAACTTCGGTCAGTGGATCTCAAGTGAAAGTCCATTTCCAGTTGCTGCTGCTTTTGTTAGATTTCCTCCTGGCATATATTTGAAGCCTTGTCAAAAATGGCGGTAGGGGATGTTTCTACCATTTTATTATAAATGCTATGGTTCTTACCTGTAGAGTTTCTTTTGCTAGGTATAAAAACTACTCTATAGCAACTGTCAACGCTTTAAAAAAATTGAAGTTAAAATAAAAGGCCAAACCATTTTCTAAACATATTAATGTATGTCCCTAAACTACTGTATACACTACGAGCAAAAAATCACTTTGTTAAAATAAACGGTATTTACTTTATTTAATAAAGTTTATTAAATAACGGTATTTAATTATCTCCTCGATTACCTATTAGGACTCAACCCATTAAAGCAGAAGTTGAAAGTGCAGCACCGAGGCTCAAGATCAGCCTCAGTGCCGTCCCCCACCCCATTGCCAGGGGCAGAGGGCCACAGTGCATCCACCTTGCTGAGCCACTGACAGTAAGAACTATCTTTAGGATTCTAATGGTGTCAATATTTTAACTGGCTGAATGTGGTTGAAAAAACTTGTCAAAAGCAGAGAAAACTCCAGATTATCTCAATCGAAAACTCCAGATTATCTCAATCTTTATGTGAATTGTTTCACATGCCAATGAACCAGAACGAGAGACTCCATGGTAAGCATGTTTCCAGCGCTGAAAGAAAACCTCACTCCTCCTCTCCTTGACAAGTAAAATGGGAATCAGAAAAACAAATGCAAATAGGTAGATACAAAAGCCCACATCATCTGGTTCTTTTTCAAGGAGTGTTAATAAATATGAGACAGTTTACCTAAGGTGATCGTGTTTGCAAGCTTCTGCAAATACTGCTCGGAAAGATTTCAAATCATCTGTTGAAAATCTTGCTGGGTCAATCTTTTCTATGCATGTAAAGAAAGCTATCGCCAAAGGCGTCAATGGATTAAGGTTCAAAGACGTTTCAGATGGAGACAAAGGATCGATATGAAGCACGGAGATGGAGAAGGTTCCCACAGCAAGTCTAAAAATAAGCTCGGGCCTGGATTCATCCACTGAAACAGATCTAGACGGGAGAGCTGGAACACATGGGTTAAAACGGGATACATAAAATACTTAAAAATAATCCATGATATCAAGATTATAAAACATTTACTCATGTTAGTTTAAAAAAAAAAAAAAAACAACAACCAGGTGATCATACAACAGTTTGAATGACATTTGATGTCAAACAAGATAAACTATTCTCTCTCTGCATTTTATATCCTGGATCCTTGATAAAGAAACATATGGGGGTTGAGCATGGGACTCAATCTCAGGTTGAGTTCAAGCCTCACACTGTGTAGATTAAATAAAGCAAAAAACAAAAAAATGGGGCGCCTGGGTGGCTCAGTCCATTAAGCAGCTAACTCTTGACTTTGGCTCAGGTTATGATCTCACGGTTAGGAGACTGAGCCTGGCAGGCTCAGTAGAGCCTGCTTCGGATTCTCTCTCTCCTCTTTCTCTCTCTGCTCCTCCCTCGCTCGTGCTAAGTAAATAAGTAAAATTAAAAAACAAACAAACAAAAAACACATGAACAAAACTTTTGCAGTAATAAAACTGTATTGGAAAAGTCACAGATCAACCAAAAGTTGCTCAAATTTTCCTTTAAGCCTCGTGTCTCTTTCAGTTAAATTTTGCAGAGGAGAAGCCTGAGGTTCTCTTTCAAGAAAAGCGTCAGACGGTTGATGAGGCTCCTCAGCTGTGACAATAATAGGAAACTTATGTGTACTTTTTAATAAAAATATTTAAATATGCAAAGACTACAAGTTCATTTTCTTTCTAAATTTTGTTAAAGGGCCTAGATCAAAAGATTTTATGAAGGGAAAGCAGTGGCAGAATGGCATTTTCAAGAAAGAAACAATGTGCTGTAATTTTCAAATCTTTTACAGTTCCAGGGGCACCATCAGTAAACGTCTCCTAGTACGTACACGTTTTCTGTAAAGCTGGAGGGGAACCCAGGGCGGATGGGGGTGCTGACCCCCTCGCTGGCTGTTCTTTGTGATGATCAAGGAAATCTCCCCATGTGGGCTGAAGCTGTGAAAGAGTTTTTTTTTAAAAAACATGAATAAAGCGCAGAATTTTAGAAGCCACTTTTCAAGCAGAGTAACAAATAATACTTTACCACAGTAGCACTTAATGGAGATCCTGCCGGAGTATTTGTATTTGTGTATGTACTAGTTAACGATAACTCGAGGTCCATATTTGGAGGGTCTCCAAGGGGTGGAAGAGAAGAGAGACTATGGGACATGTCCATATCAGCCATGGAGAAGAAAACTTCTTCTTCTAGAGAGAATTACACTTTGTCAATGGTATAATTCATGTCTTTGTAGTAAGTTAACATATATTAATGTAATATTCTTCCTTCAGATTATCTGCAATACAGAGATGCCCTAAATTTTACATTCCTTCTAGTGGGTTAGTGGGTTCATTTTTTTGGATCCAAGATATAAATGGCATAATAAAAACTCAACCAAATACAAGTGTAACAAAAGGTTATGCTATCCTACCGGTGAACTTGTTTTGTGTTTTTTTTAAATATATGACATGCAGTACCATATGGTATATTTTTAGGTGTCATGTGACAGCTTAGGAGTTAAAACCCAACTTTAAAATAGTATGAAGATCTTGCAGTGTCTGGTTTCACATGCATACAGCCATTTCTTTAAACACAAACAAACCTGAATATGTTATTTAGAATTCTATTTACATTTCACTTTCTTCTTTCTAGAGGTTGTTTTACCTTCGTATGAATGAAGTCTGTTATGACCAGAATTTCTTGAGAACACTTTCTTGTTTTTAATTTATTTAGGTCAACATTCTGGGTTTAAATGGATTCTTATTACCTCAGGTATTAGTGCTTAAACATTCTAAAACACCTGTAAATGCCAGGTCTACCTGGTAAAGACTATATTTACAGATAATTGATAGAAGAGTAGAGAAAGGTTCCTGAAGGAATCTACTAGAAATCATTATACAAGTATGTAAGAATCTGACAAAATGAATTAGCCCCAATTTATCTTTTGCATCAATCTGCATTTTTGTAAATTGACTGTCTTTAGAATAAAAGAAAGGATAACTCACGACTTACAAGGTTACACAGTCAACAAAAGCCACACGTGGCAGTAGAGCGCTGTAATTAATGTCACAGTTAGATCAACATATTAACTTAGACCTTCCTGGAGCACAGATCTTTTGTTCTTTACTGAACTCCATTTCACAACAGCCAAACTGTTTACCCTGCTCTATGAGGACACTGTAGGGACGTAGTGTCAACTGCTTTAGTTGCTTACCCCGGCTAGAAGGTGTACGAGCAGATTCGGTCTCATAAAAACTTTGCTCTGAAGACACGCCCGCGGAGAGGGAATCTTTCCTCAAATAATACCGGTTTAATTCCATCTGAATTCGATACTCATCTTCCTGCTGCATAGGTCGGTTTTTTCTATCTTTATTACCTAAACCTATTTTGCTAGAATTTTCTGGAAGTATAGAAAGGAAAGCAAAGGAAAGCAAAACAGTAATTAAACCTGGAGTTCATTAACTCACTCCCCAAACCCACTACTTGTTCAACACTAACAGCAACTTCATGCCACAATCAATGCAGAACTACCACTATTTAATATTAATCAGAGACCTACGCAGTAGCTTTAAGCAGCTAGCTAGAAATCATAGAATCTTTGATCTTAATTAAAAAGTTTTAAAGTTAAAAATAATAACAACAGAGTTGTCTGTTGCCATACTTGCCTGGTCCAGCAATAGCTGCTAACATATCCAAAAGCAAGTGCACCTGCCTTGGTGACAGGAATAGATGAATAGAGTCTATCTGTCCATCAATATCCAACTTCAAAAAAAAAAACAACAACAACAACCATTCAGGATAAACACTCTTGAAAATCTCATCACCACAAATCCCAGTATACTTTAATGCATGGAGATGAATATGGATTAGTCACTCTTGAATTCTTTGACCTAAGAGTCCATCCATGAACTCACACAATCTAAATAAAAAGACTTATGGCCATCAAATTGCTGTTCTAAGAGGGAAAATCCTCCTGAGGAATTCCATGTTGGCAAGTCCAAGCTCTTCGAGTTTTCTATGGAGTATTTAAGGTATCTGAAGACTTAAGACACAGTTGCTAAGAAAGAATATGAAGTTAAGCCTCCCTGGGTGGCTCAGTTGGTTAAGCGTCTGACTTTGGCTCAGGTCATTTTCTCATGGTTCATGAGTCTGAGCCCTGCATCGGGCTCTATGCGGACAGCTCAGAGCCTGGAGCCTGCTGCAGATTCTGTCTCCCTCTCACTGTGCCCCTCCCCGGTTCATGCTCGCTCGCGCCCTCTCTCTCTCTCTCTCTCAAATAAACAAACATTAAAAACAACTAAAAAAAAAAAAAAAAAAGAATATGAAGTTAGTAGCACAGTATTCATTCCCAACAGGACTTCAAGACTCAAGTCACAATCCTCAAAGCTAGATTCAACCCAGCAGCATATCCAAGCTCGCCCACTTGCTAGCAAAGCACGTGGGGACCCTCTCTACCAGCAGTGGGCCTCACACTCTCCGCTGGGGAGGAAAGTGCAAGCCACAGCAGCGAGGCTGATGGAGTGGATGCTCATGTGAACTGCCTTGCTCTTTTCCAAGTTTCCGTCCATCTTATCTCCTAGAAATAGGAGCCCACCCAGTCTCATCCTGATTCCTAGGCAAAAATATCCTAACAAAACAGTTACTCGTTCTCTCCACCACATTCTAAAAGGTTGAATATGCTGTGCTCGCCTTACTTTTCATTCACCTCCTCTTAGTCCTAATGCTAACACTCCTATTATCTTTATGCCATTGTGGAATTTAAAAAGAATCAATTAATAAAATAAATACATTCATATTTGGAAAATGGCATCTTTCCCAGGGGGAAAAACAAATTTCTGATTCTAAAAACAAAAAATATTATATAGTAACTCTGAGAAATGTCCATGATCTGAGACTATAACAACATTCTCCAATGATAACAATCATCAGTATCACTGTGTGTGTGTGTGTGTGTGTGTGTGTGTGTGTGTTTGATGGGGTGCTATGTCCCAACTTGCATGAGATTCTCTCTGCCCCTCCCTGACTCATGCTTTCTTTCTCAGAATAAACTTTTTAAAAAAATTTAAAAATAAAGTAAAATAATATCAAACTCAATATGACACAGTAACTGAAATGAAATGTCTAAAAATTCAATACATACAAGTCCTCTATCACCTTATATAGTGCACTCCTGAAAGTGCATGCTAAAACTGAGTATGTGAACCATAAGGCTTATACACTATTTGGGGTGGGTACCAGTCTCAGAGAACTAAAAAAAAAAAAAAAAACCAAAAAACAAACAAAAAAAAACCCCAAAAACCTTTCATAACATTTTGAACTTGCAGTTGAAAGACGTGGGTCTACAAACATCAAAGGAACTAAAGATCAGACACTCTGAGTGTCCCTAACCAAGGCCACCTTTGTCTACAATGCACCGTTTATGAGATTTACATTTCTCAATGCTAATATCTAGAAGTTCTATTTTTCCATTTAGCCTTCATTTTCATTAAATAGGAACAATATGTACTCAAAAATCAGGTTACTACTACAAAAAATATTATCATATAGGCGAAGAGAGTAAGATCCCCAAATACCACACCCCCACAGGGCGCCTGGGTGGCTTAGTCGGTTGAGCATCCAACTTTCGCTCAGGTCATGATCTCGCGGTTCGTGGGTTCAGGCCCCGCGTCGGGCTCTGTGCTGACTGCCAGCTCAGAGCCTGGAGCCTGATTCAGTCTGTGACTCTCTCTCTCTCTGACCCTCCCCTGCTCACACTGTCTCTCTCTCTCCTAGAAATAAATAAAACATTAAAAAAATTAAAAAACAAACAAACAAATACCACACCCTGGCTGGCAAACCATCAGGCAGTAACTCCAGGCATTGTTACCTGTCACCTAACACACAGATGTCCAAAAGTAACAGCGAAATGGCACTGATACAGATCAACACATAATGTGCATAAGTCTGGGTCTGCACAAAGATCAAATACACAACTGATGAAGTCTATCTATAGTTAATCAAAAAAGAACTACCAAAGTTACTATGGTGATTCCTTCTTAGAGAAAGAGCAATGCTCCCCCCTCAGAGGCAGGAGTGTGTTAGCTCCCCGAGGACGTTAGCACATCAGGGGATTCCCTGAGGGCTTAAACACACCTACAGCTGGCTTTCTCGAGTTATTTTATGATGAGGCTTGAGACCTAGAGAAAGGAGGTCCTAGCACCTGACGTAGGACGGAGCAGTAAAGGAAGGAGAGGGAGTCATCAGAAGCAGGAAGACTGGCGTTCTGATAGCACCTTCCCCTGCCCCCCCTCTAGCCAGGGTGCCAACCCAGGGACAGGTGCTGGAGACCCTTCAAGCCCTGAAAACCCTATGAGCACTCACATGCACTCAGCTGCTCCCTTCCCACATCCCCCCAGCAATCTCTGCAGCCCGAATCACACGCTGCATTAAGGCACAGCCAGGATTCCACCCCTCTCTGCATCTGTCCCGAGTTGCTGCGCGGGGCCTGGCCTACAGCAGCCACTCAGACACCTACAGCTGAATAGCACAGTGAAGAAACCCTGATATCTTCTTAAACTACATTTTACACAGATCGTATAGAAAATTAGTTTTCAAAGAGAACACGTCACAAATACATTTTTAACTGGCGACACAAACACAAGCTTCCTGATTCCCCAGCAGACCGCCCAATACTGCTCCCTACGTACCAGGCGCAGCTGTCTTTACAAGCTCTTCCAAAAGCCATGAGTTATGGGGGGAGGGGGGAGGAATCAATCTCTTTTCATAAATATTCCACAACTATAAAAACAGTCCTTCTGGTCAAAACCCATACAGGTGGGCATTTTCACCTGGATACAATTACATACACACCTTCTACAGTCCACTTCTCGCTTTCCAAAGCTCTTCTCCTAAACTTACTTTTAGGATGACAGATTCTTTAATCAGTTGCTAGTTTCTGAACTAATGAATGTTTCTGAGCCGCTCAAGTGCAGGAAAGGGCGCGTAGGCGACGGTGCTAAACCCAAGCATCAGCAGAAGGGCAAAGGTGATCGTCACGTGAGCCTTGCAGCCGGAGGGCAGAGGCCCTGGCCGAGAGTGAGGACACGGACTCCAGGACCACGGGCACCCTAGTTACAGGACAACCCACAGTGACCAGCGGAGGGGCCACTGCACAGGTTAAAGAATACTTGTACTTTTGTTTTGTTTTACTATAGAAGATAAAACAAGTGCTTACCTTAGCTCCAGGAAGTACTTCATTCTGTTTCAATGTGAGACTCAACTCCAACCTACCAATCAGCCCTCCAATCTGCACGGGGTCAGAGGGCGCCACCTCTGGTAAATTTCTAGTTAGTTGTGGGTGCGGCTCGTAGACAATTTTGGGATTCCAGCTAGGTGACAGCTTTGGCTCAGTTTCCTACAATGAGACAATAAGAATAAAGTAATTCTTTAAAATACCTTAGTGTAAAAAAACTAAATTCAAAACACAAATGTCAATATAAGAGTAAAATACCTGACATGAAAAACTTATTACGTGACAATGAATAAACCAGTATCTTAAAGAGCCAAGGCATGGAAAAGGACTTTACGAAAAAAAAAGCACAGTACCTCTTCAAATTATAGCAATAAAAAAATTGGCATTCTGAAATAATGTAAAAGATAAATGATGGAAGGACTGACTTATAAAAATGACTCTCTACTCTCAGAAAGGGTTAATAAAGTTCCTTAATTATAAAACCGTTTTAAGACAAGTGTAAGCTTTCTGCAATACATCCATTACGTAAGGTAAATGTGAACACGGTTTTTGTTTTTACCCTAAAAGGATATTAGCCGTCGTTATACCATTTTCCCCCAAAACACAGTACCGATGTTACACACCTCACTGGTAGGAAAGGCATTAATCATAATAAATAGGAGTGTTTTAAAAACCCTGAAGTGTAGGCATTACTTCATTCAGATCAGACGCAAACTCAGTGACACATATTCCATATCCTAGCAAACATAACAGCCCCCACTTAAACCTTTTAAACATCGAGGAGTTAGTGTTTGGGGTTTTGTCTTGTTTTGTTGTTCTTACCACTGGTGCAGTCGAACACACGGGGGAGGATTTTGCTGACGCAGAAAACTCATCCCAGAAGAGGGCCACCCCGGAGAGCTGCAGCAGCTTGTGCGCAAACGCTGTAGGCTGATGCACGTTCACGCCCGCGGACTCGTCAGCAGCCTCATCACAGTACACGGTCCTGCACGGTCAAAACCAAAGCACTTGCATAAACGCCTAAGAAAACCCACTTGCAAGTCTAAGAAACACATGCAGCCTTTTCAGCTAAAGGACCTGTCATGTGTTAGCACAGCTTAGAGAATGCCTAGAACGCGCTCGGCATTTCGGTGCTTTATTACGAGAAACGTTTTCGCCAGGAGAGCTCAGCCGCAAGAAGGGTAGTTTTAGGGGGCTCCCAAGCTGGGGGGGAGTAAGAACTTCCTAAAGCTGGCCTCCACCCTTGTGCTCCCTCACAAACCTATCTTGGCTCCAAGTCACACATCTGACACAAATGACATTTCTTGAATTTGCACAATTCCATGAGCTCAGTTTAAACAAAATACATAATGTGGTTCTACATGTATGAGATTTCAGTAACTTATTAATGTACCTTTTCAGGGAAATGCAACCTAATTTCAAAAATCTGTTGACAATAACTGTTTCACAGGACACCTGGGTGGCCCGGTTGGTTAAGCATCCAGTTCTTGATATTGGCTCGGGTCTTGAACTCACAGTTCATGAGATGGAGCCCCATGTTGGGCTCTATGCTGACAGCACGGAGCCTTCTTGGGATTCTCTCTCTCTCCCTCCCTCTCTTCCCTTCCCCCTGCTCAAGCTCGTTCTCTCTCAAAAATAAACGAACATTTTAAAAAAATAACCACTTCACTCATAGGTATGATGTTTTGTGAAAGGCAGAAACCGTATCTGCTTAAAATCTGCCAACAGCCCCCACAGATCCGTATCCAAAATGTCTTTGGGGCTCAGTGTACATACTCCATTCTCTATATTTCTGCATTAGGGCACAGGTGAACTCCAACTTCAGCTCCAGTCATGATCTTGCAGTTTGTGGATTCAAGCCCCGCGCTGGGCCCTGTGCTGACAGTTCAGAGCCTGGAGCCTGCTTCAGATTCCGTGTGTCCCTCTCTCTCTGTATGTCCCCCTACTCCCACTCTGTCTCTCTCTCAAAGTTAAATAAACATTAAAAAAAAAAGTTTTTAAAAAAGACACAGGTGAACAGTGACTACCTCAAATCAACAGTCAGGAGTGTGTACATGAATCAATCTGTTTCAGAGCTGTTTATAAGATTCCAAGTGGGCAAACACAGAAAACTAAGTGGTGGTGTCTATATTTTTAAGTAAATCACAATCACACAGATTGACTTTAAGATACTCTCATAGCATCCTCAAAGAAAACAACAGCCTTAACCTTTCTCATGAAAGCAGCACTTAGATCAAGCAAAGGAAACCAAAAAAGCCCCTCATGTTAATGAGACGTGCTGCAACGGCGCCATCGTTCATATGAAAAAACTCCCAACAGGGGTGCCTTAAATTCAGCAGCACTCAACTATTCACGATTTTTATTTGATATTAACTAAAAGAGAACCATTGCTTTGAATTCAATATTATATACAAATTATACCCCAACTGGTATTATAAGTTTTCAGTAATGGGATTAGAACGTATCTTGGAGAGCAGCACTTTACTGTGAAATCCTACGATGTATTAATAGCATCACCTCTCATCTCTAAAAGCATCATAAACTCTCACGAGAGACTTAGCTCTTACCATTTATAAAAGAACAGAACAGGGTCATTTGTTCTCAGCTACAAGGAGTCTTACCTTTCTATCCGAATTTCAAGTGCAGTTCCAGTTTTGGAATTTTCTGGCACGTGTTCAATCCTCAAGACAGTGTCTATAAAAGTGACTTTCACTCTTCTTAGTACTAGAGTAAACAGGTAACCGTCAACATGAGGCCATAGGTTTACTGAATAAAAACTTCTAATGAAAAGAATAAATGCTAGTTTGACAAGAACTTCCAAAATAAAAAAAGTGTATTTCTCCCCTTAAAAATCCCCAAACCTTAAGTTTGGTAATAAATATTTTGCTTTGCTGAGCACCTACTACATCACATCTCAACAGACACTTGGGCTATAGCTAACACTCTCTGTGGAATTCTAATCCCTTACACAAGCACAATAAAATAAACGGGGAAACTAGGACACAAAAGGACATCAAATTAAATCAGATATAATATTTAAAATAGCTTCAATTCTAAAGTTCTGAAGTGAGAACAGTAATTCATTTAAAAAACAACAACACTCCAATGGCTTTACCTTATATAAGGCTTACTAAATAAAGGTACTAAAAACAAAGCAAAATCTAAAATTTTTGAAAATACTCAATAATGCCAAACCTGTTTCAATGGTTTCAGCAAACTTTTCAAGTCCTTCAAAAGGCTGGGATCCTTCTCCTTGTTCATCTGTTAATTTCTGGCTAAGACATTCTTTTGCCAACTGCATACTGCTGGTCATGAAACTTGACCAATACATAGGCTCAGAACCAGTTGCTGCAGAAAACATAGATTAATTCGAAATAACTTCTCATAGTTACAAGAAAGCCATTTCGTAAAATGCCACATTTGAAATAAATAAATTCTTAATCCTCCCAGAGATGCTTAAATATTTAACATGGTGTTACCTAGGCATGTGACACTCTAGAAATTACTCTTGAGATGTAACCACCATCTTGTAATAATGGAGAAGAAAAAAAAAATCACAGAAAGAAGTCCAGAGACATATGTTCTCATTAAATGACATATATCTGCCAAATGTTAGTAATTTGTGAATTCCTTCAACAAGTATTTAATGCATGCACGGTACTGTTCAAAAGACTAGAGAATAAGGGTCAACAAACTTCTTTGGTGAGGGTCCGATGGTAAATATCCCTGGCTTTGTGGGTCCTATAGTCTCTCTCCATGAGACCATGAGGACTCAACTCTCTCACTCTAGTGCAAAGGAGCCGGAGAGAATAAATGATTGAATGAGTATGGTAGTGTTCCAATACAAATTTACAAAAATACGACAGACGAAATTTGGCCTCCAGGCCGTGATTAGCTGACCCTGCTGTAGGGGATCCAAAAAATATTAATTCTGCCCTCCAAGAGCCCACAGTATAACAGAAGAAATAAGATGTGGTTAAGATGGATTAGTAAGCAACTAAGTAATGTCAACAGAAAACACAACTAAGTCAAGAGGTTAATTCTTCTCACAGACAGAATTTAACAGGAAAACTGGTAGAGTCGGTACTTGGCCGAGGTTTTGGAAGGTAGTATAAATGTAGATAAAACAGAAAAGCATCCTTGGAGAAATATATGAACTGGGAAAAATCCTTTCCAGATCCACCCTCAGCAGAGAGCTGTACCACTCTCACATTATTCAAAACAAAGTCACAGAGACTACTAGCATTGCTGCCTTCCCAAATGGACTTTAAAAGCCCTTCTCATGGAAGATTTTTAAAGTAAGGGAGACTATTTGACTTTCCACAGGAAAGTATTGTTATATCTACTCATCATGGTTAGAAAAATAAAATATTCTTGTTCATTAAATGCCATCATCAAGGGCGATTTCCATGCACAGACTACCAATTTTCTTTTTTATTTATTTATTTTTTTTTTTTTAATTTTTTTTTTTAATGTTTTATTTATTTCTAGGAGAGAGAGAGAGAGAGACAGCGTGAGCAGGGGAGGGTCAGAGAGAGAGGGAGTCACAGACCGAAATAGGCTCCAGGCTCTGAGCTGGCAGTCAGCACAGAGCCCGACGCGGGGCTCGAACCCACGAACCGCGAGATCATGACCTAAGCGAAAGTCGGACGCTTAACCGACTAAGCCACCCAGGCGCCCCATAGACTACCAATTTTCAAACTATAGGTGCTATTGATTCTAGTAAGTATACTTAAACTCTGGTGTTCCAGACAGCACTTGGGATTATAACCCTCCAAGTACATCTTGATAAACAACATTTGCCACTGAAGGAATTCAAGTTCAGAATTTAAGACGATTTACATCATGACTCTACTGGCTTATAAAACATACACACGCTACACACACTCCGAAGCAGAAAATCTTAACATACAACATAGCACGGTGGTTCCGAACAGGGACTGCACAACTAGACTGCCTGGGTTCAGATCCCATCTTCCCACTTAACTAGTATGACCTTGGGCAAGTCTTAAATCTGCTTGTGCTTCAATTCCCTGTTCTGTAAAATAGGGATAATAAAAAGTATCTATTTCAAAGAGCTGTCATAAAACAGTATTTGTACAGCACTTAGAACAGTATCTAGCATGCAAGAAGCACTATATACGTGTTTGGTAAGTCAGAGAACATCAAATATGTAATTAAAGCTACCACACACATCGATTTGCAAATAATGACTTACTACCACTTTAAAGCTTTTCCTTCCCAAAGTTTTCTTTTGAAAAATTTCAATCCTAAGAAAGAGGTGAAAGAATGGTACCATGAACACCTGCATAGCCTTCACTTAGACTGTGACTGTACCAAACATACACAAATACATACAAACTCTCATCCTTTTGCTGAACTATCTGAAGGTAAGCCGCAGGCACCCTACCACTCACTCCTAAATACCTCAGCATATAACTTCTAAGAATATGAACATTCCCCAGCAAAAGCTCAGTAACAATAACACACCCAAGAAAGAGAACACTGACAAAATATTATCTTCCATATAGTCCACACCCAAATTTCCCTAGTTGTCTCAGTAACATCCTTCGTAGCAAAAACAAAAACACAGGATTAACTATTGCAGTTATTCGTGTCTTAGTCTTCTTTAATCTGAAACAATTCCTCTACCTTTCTTGTCTTTCAAGATACTGATACCTCTAAAGACTGCCAGCCAGTTAGTCTGTAGAATTTCCCTTATTTTGGATGTGTCTACTTCCTTCTTTATGATCTGATTCAGATTAAGCACTTTTAACAGGAACAGTGCATATTTGATGTGTCCTCACAGGACATCACATCAGGACACACCTGATGACCATCTGATCCACTATTGATGAGATTAAGTTTGATAACTCGGTTGTTATGATGACAATTTCCTCCATTGTGAAAGAAACATTTTTCTCTTTGTAAATTATATGCAATGGATGGGGGGGTATGTTGATACCATCTAAATATAAAGCTCCTCACAACTTTCACCAAAAAGTGTTAGAATTCATTGATGATTATCACCTGTTTCTTTCTTTTTTTTTTTTACATGGTGGCCAAAAACATGGTTATGGTCTATCATTTTTCCCTACTCTATGAAGTAGGTATCCTACTGTAATAAAGAGCTTTTCCTTCTTCCTGCCTCTCTTACATACTGATTACTTATTTATAACAATATGAACTTGAGTTTTTTTTTAATTTAGTGTGTTATAATCCACTATTGTCATTATTCTTTTTTCACTCAAGTATTCCCAGATTTGGCCAATGAGAGCCCCAATGAGCCCAATCCTCTGTCCTTTTAACATTTATCCACCAATCTTTGAGCAATTCCTTTATTTCTGGCACAGTACTTCAAATCTTTAAAACACAGGTCACTTTAGATCATCAGTAACAAATAATTAAACCAAATCATCATTATACCAAAGTTCCTGCAGGTAAATAGGGCAAGAAGTAAAGGTAAAATCATACACACCCAAGTCCTACTATTTTTATCTCCTGAAAAGCTCACAAAGACAATGCTAAGTAATAAATTAAATACTTAATACAATTAGGTTGCTTTCCCACTCTCTGAAGAATACAAATAGAAACAAATCAAACACATAATGCACGTACCTAGGCGAGGTCTAGGCCGGAAGACCATTTCTAGCCCTTTCACTTCCAGTGCGCAATTATCCTGTAGCAAGGAGCCCCATGGAACTGACAGAGAAATTGACTGTATGAATCCTTCAGTGACTTCTAAAGGTGCATCTGCTGACTCCAGGATCTCATTGAGACACTAAAGAGAAAAACCACGTATAGTTTGAAATCACAGGAACAAGAATTCAAAGATGCTAAATATGCTCCTCTAGGTGTCAGACACTAGGGATTAAGAAAGCAGAGTCCAGGGGTGCCTGGGTGGCTCAGTCAGTTGAGCCTCTGACTTCGGCTCAGGTCATGATCTCACGGTTCATGGTTTCGAGCTCTGCGTCGGGCTCTGTGCTGACAGCCAGCTCAGAGCCTGGAGCCTGCTTCGGATTCTGTGTCTCCCTCTCTCTCAGACCCTCCCCTGCTCATACTGTCTCTCTCTCACTCTCTCAGAAATAAATAAAAAACATGAAAGCAAGCAAGCAAGCAAGCAAGCAAGCAGAGTCCAAGGGGCGCCTGGGTGGTTTGGTCGATTAAGTGTCCAACTTTGGCTGAGGTTATAATTTCATGGTTCATGAGTTCAATCCCCACATCGGGCTCTGTGCTGACAGCATGGAGGCTGGAACCTGCTTCAGATTCTATGTCTCCCCCTCTTCTCTGTCCCTCCCCTGCTCGTGTTCTCTCACTCAAAAATTTAAATATTTTTTAAAAATGAAAAAGAAAGCAGAGTCCAAGATAAAGACTCCCCATCCTTCTGAAATTTACTAGATAGTTTACCATGAAAGACACACGTAATTAAGATGTAGTGAGCTACCTGAAAGTGGAAATACGCTGTACTGTTTAAGCATGTAATACAACCTAACCTGGCATCTGAGGAAGTGCTATTTCAAGGTGAGACCAGAGAAGGCTGAGGAGTCACCAAAGTGGTCCACACAGAGACTATAGTGTGTGAAAGGATTCAAAGAAAGCAGAGGTCAGAGAGTGCAAGCCCACATACTTGAGACGTAAGACTTTTTGAAAAGGAAAAGCTACTCTAGACTCCACTGTGGTGTGCTAGGGTGAGGAGCCAAAGATAAAGCTACACAGATAAGGGAGAGGGAGTCCAAACAGCCTTGTAATTCACGTTACAGAGCCTGACATTTATCTCAAGAGCGAAGTGAAGCCATTGAAAGATTTTAAGCAAGGGCACAAGAATGGGATTAGAACTTTTAGTGAACCACTTCTGCTACCGCACAGAGTGTGCACTAGAGGAAAGCAAAACTCGGGCAGAAAGGCTGTCATGAGTAAGAGAAGCCAGGGAAATGGGTTTGGCGAGGACAGTGACACTGAGGGTGGTTAGAAGTGGACAGACTTTATTATATTTTAGGAAGTAGAATTGGCATCATGAGAAATTTAAAAAAATAAAGGACTGCAGAATAACTCTCAGGTTGCTGCCGCGGGCAACTGGATAGATAGTGCTATCTACAGAGAGTAAACCTGGAGAAGGTTAGGGGAAGCAGAGGAGTTCAGTTCCCAAGAGCAGGCGCGTAGGTGGAGATGTCGCAGTGGCAGCTGGTTATTCTGGTCCAGGTATCAGAGGAGAGCATCCGCGCTGAGGCCCTAGGGTGATGAGACGGCCTTTGGAAACTTACGTAGAGTTAAACGACAAGAGGCCTAGGACAGAATCCTGATAAACACCAACATTTAAGTATTAAGAATTGGTTTATGAAAAGAAGCACCTGCCAAGTAAAGTAGAAAAAAGCAAACAGAGAAGTAGAAGGAAAATCAAGTTAAGTCTTATGTCCCAGAAAATCATGGAAAGACAATTATATAAAGAAAGGTCCAGTGCAACAAAAGGTAACAAGAGGTCAAAGATTTTTAAATGTCCATTGGCTTCTGTGATATTTAGGGCGCTGGGGACCCCAGTGAGAGAGATTTTAATGGCGTGGTAAGGCAAAGCAGACGACAACAGAAGGAAGACAGGATGGATGTAAATGTAGTTAACAGAACAATTAAATGTATTTCTTGATAATGTACTTTTTTAAAATTTATTTTTAAATGTTTATTTTTGAGAGAGAGACAGAGCATGAGCAGGGGAGGGGCAGAGAGAGGGGGAGACACAGACTCCAAAACAGGCTTCAGGCTCTGAGCTGTCAGCACAGAACCTGAGGCGGGGCTCAAACCCACAAACCATGAGATCATGACCTGAGCCGAAGTTGGACGCTTAACTGACTGAGCCACCCAAGCGCTCCGCCCTGATAATGTACTTTTTAAATTAAAATAACACAGTTTATAAAATGCCAGCTTATGCGTGAGGTAAGTCCTGCATGCCATGATGAGTAACGGCAGTGTCATAATTCTTTGTCTACAGACCTATCGCTGAATGTTGGTTTGGACTGGCTTGTGTTTGGTCACTGGAGGTTATCACTCTAAAAGGCTTTCTTCGTGCTGGCGTTTCTGTAATCCTACAGACGTGCTGAAGAGTACCTGGGCATGGATGCTTTTAAGGTAAACACATCCAGATCCTCACTCTCCAAATATACTCTGTTCTAAAGCCGATCTTCCTGAGAAGCGTACTTGACAGTGGCACCATGTTGGCTCTCCTCTCCCGTATTCCCTCGTACAATCTCCCTTCTCCCGCTTAGCCAAAAAGGCCTTTTCCCTTCCTGAATCCTCCTTGGTGCACTGCCCCAGGTATAAAAGACTCCAGGCAAGGCCAGCAATAGGTTGCTACGCTTTCCCTATCTTACACATGTTTTTGGCATGGCACGCAAAGAACCAAGTGATGTTGCTACTGCAGAATGCCTTCGAGTCTCATCTACATCTTTATGACATCTACGTTTGTTAAGCTTCTATTTCCAAAACTTAGAATGAAATTTATGATGAGCCCGATCAAATTCTAGTAAAATATATCCATCTATGAATACACAAGCTAATCAGGGGAGGGGAAACCACCTGGCCACACCATTAAGAAATGTATTCCCAAGAGAAGATTTTAGGTTTAATTTTTCAAACATATTTATATCGTTTTGATCAACTGCACACTTATAATAACACAATCCACAGGAAAAATTTTAACACGTAAAACCTAATGATTACCTGAAGGAAATACCGATAAGATTAATATGGTAGGGCCTAGAGGAACTGCTAAGACGACCACTAAAAAACTGAAAAAATAGGAAATGAAGAAATCATTAAAGGAATTAAAATGGGAATTAAAAGGAATTGAATTAAATTTTAAAAGGAATAAGGAGGAGCCCCTAGATGGCTCAGTCATGACTTCTGAGTTTAGCTCAGGTCATGATCTCACTGTTCGTGAGTTCAAGCCCCACGTCAGGCTCTGTGCTGACAGCTCAGAGCCTGGAGCCTGCTTTGGATTCTGTGTCTCCCTCTCTCTCTACCCCTCTCCAAATCACCCTCTGTCTCTCTCTGTCTCTGTCTCCCTCTCTCTTGCTCTCACTCAAAAATAAATATTAAATCATTAATTATATTTACCTAATGCAAAAGAAAGCTTGATAGCATGTCTTAAAATATGACCAATTTCAGCTTAGTTACATGTTTTTACTCAAGAGAAATGACAGCATGATCAACAAAAGACTTAAGCATAAAATACATAAGTTATGATAAAATTTTGCAGAGGAAGTAAGGTGAACTGAACATAGGCGTTCCATGGGAAAAAGTAGGTTACATTTCCAACTTTAATGAAGAACTTGTTCAAGCATTTTTAAATGCATGATGGTGGATATTTAGATCCTACTGGGTGAAAATACATATTTTTATGTCAATATTTATAACAGTAAGAATTACCCTCTACAACTATTTAAGCTGTTAAGTAAACTAAAGGCCAACGTCGAGTCACTCGCCCTCCAGGACAGCAAATCAAGACTTAATTGCAGTTTCAACCTCTCCAGAAGTGAAATTTTAAGCCAATCAATCTGGATATTCTGGTTGGCACCAATGAGGTAATCTATCATGTGGGTTCTCTCCTCCAAAGGAAGATGAGGTAATCCACCTAAGACTCCCTGCTCTTTCCCACTGAGGAAAAGAAGTTCTGGCCTGAAACCATCTTTTTCTTTTCTTTTGCTAATAACTTCTCCCCACTCTCCTCCCTCCTTCCTATAAAAACCTTCCCTTTTGCACAACTGTGGAGCTCCTCTATACCAGCTGGGTGGGGTGCTGCCTGATTCACATATCAGTGAAAAAAAGCCAATTAATGTTCAAATGTCCTTGGGTGAATTTTGTTTTTTATCAAAATTTATAATGGATACCTTTTAATTTTACTTTTTTAAATATTTGTTTTGAGAGAAAGCACGTGCGCGCACGCGCGCGCGCACACACACACACACCCACACACACACAGTGGGAATGCAGCTGGGGGCCAGGGAAGAATTCCAAACAGGCTCAGTGCTGTCAGCGCAGAGCCCAAATGGGGGTTCGACCTCAGGACAGTGAGATCATGACCTAAGCCAAATCCAAGAGTCAGTTGCTTAAACTGTTATGTCAAATTTTTTTAATGTATGTTTATTTAGAGAAAGAGTAAGAAAGAGTGCAAGCGGGGGAGGGGCAGAGAGAGAGGGAGACACATGATCCAAAGCAGGATCCAGGCTCTGAGCTGTCAGCACAGAGCTCGACGTGGGGCTCGAACTCACAAGCCACGAGATCATGACCTGAGCCGAAGTCGGACACTTAACCACCTGAGCCACCCAGGCGTCCCAAACCATTAAGTCAATTTTAAAATGCACAAGGAAGACGGTAGTTTTTCAAAAATTTAAGAGAAAACTGGGCAGTGTTTGAAGGACACTCCTTTAAAACAGCATGTGTTCTGGTCCCAGCTCGCTCACTCACTTGCTGGGTGGCTTTGGACAAGCTCTTGAATCTCAATTTCCTCTTCCATAAAATAGGATGGTATCTATGTCACAGACTTACTGTGAGCATAAATGAGGTAATAACATGTAGAGCTACCAACATAGTTCCTGATACCAAGTACACACTTTATAAATGTTGACTATTGCTCTTTATCTTCCACAGTGCCTACGTAGCGCAGTGATGAGCACTCTTAGGAATCCAAGGTGTGTCTGACAGTATGCAAAAAGAAAAACATTAAGTTACGGTTTTCTTTAACACGTACCATCAGACTAACCAGGGGAAAAAAACACATCCTTATTAGTTTAA